GCACATATAGCAGGACACTCATTCACTACACCCTCAGTCTTTTCCCCCATCTTCCTGCCTTGATTTTTTATCCCCCCAAAAAATTATACAAACAGTTTTTAGATAGTTTACCATTTCTTTCACTCAGCACATTTGTTCTTTTTTCTCAACCACAAGTGTCAAAGCAGCTTTCCCCAGTCGACCTGGCCCACATTAACACACTCACTTTACAGCTTAGTCAGAAGTGGGTCACATCAGCACTGGGAAGGGGAACAGAGGGAAAAATCTATTGACCTTTTCCTGGAGATCAAAAATACACACAAAAAAAAAGTTTACAGAGCAGCACTGCTACTGCCGATGCTCCAGAGGAAGCAGGAACTGCGGCTGCTGATGACAATGGTAAAGAAGGTGTGTGGTGGCTGGGAGAGGGTGTGGAGGGCTGAGTCTGGGAAAAAGGCAGTGTGTGTGTGTGTGTGTTTTGTGTGTGTGTGTTGGGCGGATGGGGGGTGGGCATCAGGGTTGGCTGCGTTATGGCCCAGTACTGGGCTTTTAGCATGTGAGCACAATGATGAACATCATGTGAACATAAGTCAATACATGCTGACGAGGCAGAAACTCTTACACCGGCCCAGGCTCCACCACATCTCATAATAAATAGATGAAGAAGAAGACAACAGGGAGGGGACTGACAGAGAAATGAAAATAATTAGGTTTAGAGTAAGGGAGCCTGAAAGAGAAAGAGTGGGAGAGGAAGAGGGACCGAAAGACAAAAAACAAACAGAAGGTGGAGAGCTGAAGAAAGAGAGGGGGTAGAAATAGTTGGATGATAGAGGATAGAAGAGTGAGCGACCGGCTAGATGGGTGGAGAGGTTGGGAGGTTACATGGTTATGGAGTCTCTATGGACCAGTTTCAGGCTCTTTGTGTAGATATGTCCACTGTAACTGTACATATGTTTGCTCTTTATATCCAGCACTGATTCTGGCATGAGTTCTCTGGCTCTATATCAAACCTGAAATGGTCACACAAAGGTCACTATCGATAATATGGCAAATCAAAAGGATTTCTTAACCTAAGCCGTCATAATCTGTGTATAGTGTGCAGTATAATCGTCTGTATTAATTTTATGTGTGATTGAGTCTAATGGAAGAATGATCACCCCCAATGATTTATTAAAGACAGGCCATTAAAGTTGTGCGCTCTGAGAAGCACTTTACTCTGTGGCTCGTTCGATAATGAGATCCGGTACAGACCAGACCAGTCAACCACTGGAATGGGCTGAGCCCTGCATGTGGTTCACTGGGCAGGTCTCTCTGCCCCGGAGAACTGGATGACGGGGTGACCTTGCTGCCTGGTCTCTGCCAAGTTTGACAGTGGGTCCGTGGGCTGTATTACCACCCAGCCCCCCTGGACAGCTGGCCACTGCCCCCACACCCTCCCCACCCTTTCACACCCATTCCAGACCAAACATGTCCACTAGTCTCTTAGGTAACCAAATGTGTCGACTCTCTCCCACAGGAAACTCCCCCACCTGTTCTCTGCTGGGAGGAGAGTTATTAGTTACGGGGTTAATGCTGCTGGACCAAGGGAGAGACTCAATACAAAAAATTGAGATAAAGAGAGGTATTGCAGCATTGCGTGTGAATGCACCCCATGCTGACCACAAGAATGTGAAGTAAGCCTCCCATGGCAGAAGCCCATCCCTTGCACCCTCCATCAGAATTTAATGAACTATTTCAGACTGCAGGCCTCCCCAGAGAGGGATTTGGGTAAGCTCAGGGTCAGGGTGTGTGCGTGCGTGCATACGTACATGAACATGCTTGTATATAAGAGTGTCTGCGTACTGTCAGGATGGAAATGTCCAGGGAGAAATACATTTGCCACTCCTGTTGGATTTCTTCATATTAGTAGAGATTCAGGAAATGTGTCCTGCTGATCATGTATTTCCACAGTAATGTCCTGCCTGTAACTCGCAGACCACATGGGAAGGTTCTAATTATTGTACAGCATGTATAGTTCTACAGCACTGTCATATCCTGTCAGTATCAAATACTTCTCAACTACACTGAGCACCTTATCACAATGAGTTCATCTCCACACCTCCATCTTCCTGGCTCACCCAGCAGCCTTCTCCTGGGATTATTAACACTGTCAGTGGTTAAGGGGATGCTAGGTGCTAGGGTTAGATGCTAGGTGTTGGTGTGTGTGTGTGTGGTTCTGTTGAACGGAAAGAGACTGAGGTCAGTGTCACTCTAAGGCTAGGTGTGTTTAGTCTGGTTTTCTCTGGTCATCTCATCACTCCTCATGCTGGCAGGGAAGGGCAGGAGAGGGCAGGGCAGGGGTCAGAAGGGTTGAAGAGTCCTCAGCTCTTGGCTGTGACAAAGAGATGGTCACAGGCTGAGGGAGGGAGAATGAGAGAGACCTAGGGAGAATCGCAATTGCATACTTCTCGTGTCCTCTCTTCTCGCCTCCTTCTCAAAACCCATTGGAGGAGAAGGTCAGAAGGGCGGGACCTCTGGCTTTCTCATCCAATTGGTTTTGAAAAGGAGACGAGGAGAGAGGACGCGAGACGTATGCAATTGAGATTCTCCCACACACTGTGAGACATAGAGAAAGTACATTAGCACGAAATACACCATAGTTCATTCCCAAGAGAAATATAGCAGCACACTACTCAACATGTCTGCTCCATTAGCTCTTTCCACCAGATCAGTCAGTCAACCAACCCCAATGACCACAATCTGAGATCCTATGTTCAGGGGCCCCTACAGAGGCCTACTGTATGCCAGGAGTAGGTCACTGCTTTTCTCTGCTGACACACACATCAAGCCCACATCCACCCTCTGCCTCCAAACTCCCCTATAAAAACTAATTTGGCCTCTTGGGAAATCATCCAGATTTTATTCACAGTTGGCACTAAGTCCAAATATTTCATTGTAGTTTCTGTATATCTTATTTCGTTCCACTCTCTCTCACTCTTTCTCTTTGTCTGGCTGATCCCCAGTGCTTTGTAAATAAAACCATATTCCCTTTAAAGTCCGAATGAAAAACAGATAAAGAGGAAGTCAAAAGAAGTACAAATGTTAAGGCTGTTTGACAGTATGGTCATTTGTAAGGCATGTGTGGGGTGATATTTGGTCTAATTCTCACAAAACTATCCCTCATAGTTTTTTCTACTCCGTTTTGTAACAAGAATCAATAATGTATACTAGGACATTACTAATAATGTAATATACAATCTGCTGTCGTGGCATTATCTCTTCTTCATCAGTTCACTCATCCTCTAAGTGGCATTAATAAAAAATAAAAAAAGCAATTTTGTTCTATGTAAGGCAATGTAATGAATTTGCTGTACATTACATTAACTCTGAAATCGATGCATATTCCATTACTTTAAGTGACTTACGTCCATTATTGTCATTGTGAAGCATCTTATCAGTGGTGTGGTGCAGTCTCTGGGCAGGTGCTTACATGGCATAATGGACCGTTTATTCGAATGAGAAATACCCCCTTCTCCCCCTTGGTTATCATCATTGGTCATTGGTATGTGAATGTCTATGTATGTTGTGTAGTTTCAGGATTGGGAGTAGTTGTGTAGTTGTGTTTCTGTGGATAGGACATTAGGGTCCAGTGTTTGTTTATTTGTGTCGGTGTGAAAAGGGATGGGAGAGGTGATTGAGTATGTGTGTCTGTGAATGACTGAAGAGGGAGTAGAAGAGAGCTCTATGTTTATTTGTCTAAGTCTGTGTGAATAATGAGTAAAGATATGTGTGTCTGGATGAATAATTTGGATCTTTTGAGTTGTCTTTAACATTCATGTTGATGAGATATTCATCATTAGATGTGTTTGCTGAAGTCAAAGCACAACTAGATTTCTCACATTCTCATATTATTATTTGATTTCTTTAGCCCGCTCTAAAGCTTAAGCGATTTACTCTATGAACACGAAACCAACTTCAAAACGTACAGACGGCCCCAACTTAGATTTTTTGAGAAAATATTTTTGATAGCATTTATACTTTCTTAATTATAACAATATTTAAATGAGCTCCCAATGCATTTCAATTGGGAAAAAAGGGCCATAGACTTGAATGGTAATATATATATATATATATATATATATATATATATATATATATATATATATGTTCAGGCTATTCTAACTTCAAATTCTTTAAGATCTGTATCAACTATAACTATATAAATGTACATAAATGTGAATAAAATAACTCACCAACAGTTACTCTTGAACCGTTCAAGCTAGAGACACCAAACCAATTTTCTCATGTTCAAGCTATCCTAACTTCACATTCTTAAAAACTGTATAAACTATAAACCGTGGTAATTAGCATAAAGTAGCATAACACATCATGGATTCAATGGAAAAAAATAAGAACACAGTAGTAGACATTTTAAATGCTACCGGTCGGTCTTTAACTATTTCAGCTACAAACATTAAAACAACTTTTCAAAACCATAAATACTTGAAAATAAGCTAGCAAGCACACCACATTTTCTTCAGGAAATGTACTTTTCTAGTTTTCATTGACATTACTCAGATTTTCTCTTGGAGGATAAACACTCTTTGATTGTTTTATTTCTGCTAGATTTTTTCACAACCTGTGTTCTACTGCCCCCTGCTGCTGAATGTCAGATTTGAGGTGACTAAATTAAAGGGGGAGGGATAGGGAGACATAAGAACAGAGAATAGAGGAAGAAAATAGTAAATGGAAGTGAAGGGTGCACTCTTGACGTTAGTACAACCACCACCACTGAGTGATCACTGTCATACCCACTCCAGGGGTCTTTCCACCAGCATGAGGGACAGGAGGCCTGAGCAACCTCTTCAGTCACAGCAGGAGGAAGTGGTGACCTCTAAGGCCATGTCAGCACTCTTCAAACCACAGGAACAAATCTGTGAGGATGCAATGACATCTCCTTCATTGTAATTTCCTCCACTCACACACACACACGCCCAAACACGTACAAAAAATGGATGGAATCAAAGTAAAGAAATCAGAAATGTATTCAACATGTTAGGTTTATTTACTTTTCGAAGTTATCACTTGAGGAAAGGCAGATAAGGTAAAAAAGGCAAACAACTGAAATCAAATGGCAAAAAGACTGTTGGATACAGTAAAAGCACTATTAGCACAAAACTTTAACATAACAGGTAAGGAGTCCATCAAACATATCGACAGGCATAAAGAAAAAATAATTTTAGCAGGGACAATCATTGTATAGTTGTAACTGCTTGTTCAACATAATATACTTGTCTGCTGCTAGCATTTCATGTAATGCTGGGCTGATCCCTAAATAGAAGAAACATTTGTCATCGACAGTGCATTTTAAAAGATATCTAGATTATTGCTCACTTGTAGCTGTAGTTACTTTACCAATGGCAACTAAGTGCTACTGTATGGTTATGTGGTGTTCACATTGCTAGACTACAGTGCACTTCAATACAGATTTTAATTAGAAATCCATTTTGCAGAGTTTCTCATAGTATCTATGCACCATAGCACCAACAGCTATGGAGAAATCCTCCTAGGCACCAGTGAGCAGTTCTGAGAGTAGCTGAGGGTTGCTTCTTAGAGCACACAGCTGGCAGTCTTCTGACTATAATATTTATAAATTAATAATATAATTATAATTGGTCATTTAGAGCAACCGCTCTTATCCAGAGCGCTTACAGAGCAATTAGGGTTAGTTGTTCTCGAGGGTTATCTCATCGACAGATCTTTTCACCTCCAACCGGCTCGAGTGGATTTAGACCAAAAGCTCTATTTCGGTTCACAGACCAACGCCTTCCCCAAACTACTCTGGCCTCCGAAATCATTGGCAAATTCAACGGGCTGGACTTGTATTTCAGCTACCTTCCATTGCTGCAGATTTTACATCCATGAAGGCGTAGCATGTTACTAATGGTTTTCTTTGAGACTGTGGTCCCAGCTCTCTTCAGGTCATTGACCAGGTCCTGCCGTGTAGTTCTGGGCTGATCCCTCACCTTCCTCATGATCATTGATGCCCCACGAGGTGAGATCTTGCATGGAGCCCCAGACCGAGGTCATCTTGAACTTCTTCCATTTTCTAATAATTGCGCCAACAGTTGTTGCCTTCTCACCAAGCTGCTTGCCTATTGTCCTGTAGCCCATCCCAGCCTTGTGCAGGTCTACAATTTTATCCCTGATGTCCTTACACAGCTCTCTGGTCTTGGCCATTGTGGAGAGGTTGGAGTCTGTTTGATTGAGTGTGTGGACAGCTGTCTTTTATACAGGTAACGAGTTCAAACAAGTGCAGTTAATGCAGGTAATGAGTGGAGAACAGGAGGGCTTCTTAAAGAAAAACTAAGAGAGCCGGAATTCTTACTGGTTGGTAGGTGATCAAATACTTATGCCATGCAATAAAATGCAAATTAATTACTTAAAAATCATACAATGTGATTTTCGGGATTTTTGTTTTAGATTCCATCTTTCACAGTTGAAGTGTACCTATGATAAAAATTACAGACCTCTACATGCTTTGTAAGTAGGAAAACCTGCAAAATCGGCAGTGTATCAAATACTTGTTCTCCCCACTATATAAATCTATGTTCAGGCTATTCTAACTTCAAATTCTTTAAGATCTGTATAAACTATAACTATATAAATGTACATAAATGTGCATAAAATAACTCACCAACAGTTACTCTTGAACCGTTCAAGCTAGAGACACCAAACCAATTTTCTCATGTTCAAGCGATCCTAACTTCACATTCTTAAAAACTGTATAAACTATAAACGGTGGTAATTAGCATAAAGTAGCATTACACATCATGGATTCAATGGAAAAAAATAAGAACACAGGGGTAGACATTTTAAATGCTACCGGTCGGTCTTTAACTATTTCAGCTACAAACATTAAAACAACATTAATATTTTCTTAACTTTTCGAATCCATAAATACCAACTAGCAAGCTACCACATTTTCTTCAGGAAATTTACTTTTCTAGTTTTCATTGACATTACTCCGATTTTCTCTTGGAGGATAAACACTCTTGGATTGTTTCATTTCTGCTCGATTTTTTCACAACCTGTGTTCTACTGTCCCCAGCTGCTGAATATCAGATTTGAGGTGACTAAATTAAAGGGGGAGGGATAGAAAGATGAGGATTAGGGAGACATAAGAACAGAGAATAGAGGAAGAAAATAGTAAAATGGAAGTGAAGGGTGCACTCTTGACGTAAGTACAACCACCACCACTCCCACTGAGTGATCACTGTCATACCCACTCCAGGGGTCTTTCCACCAGCCACCACTTCCACATCCTCCCCCTCCCTCCTCTTGTCTGTCAGAGCCTAACATCAGCCTCACATCCAGCTCCAACTGTCTGTGTTTGTTTAACTATTTTCCTGGCAGCTGTGGCTTGAGGGACAGGAGGCCTGATCAACCTCTTCAGTCACAGCAGGAGGATGTGGTGACCTCTCTAAGGCCATGTCAGCACTCTTCAAACCACAGGAACAATCTGTGATGATGCAATGACATCTCCTTCATTGTCATTTCCTCCACTCACACACACATGCCCAAACACGTACAAAAAATTGACGGAATCAAAGTAAAGAAATCAGAAATGTATTCACCATGTTAGGTTTATTTACTTTTCGAAGTTATCACTTGAGGAAAGGCAGATAAGGTAAAAAAGGCAAACAACTGAAATCAAATGGCAAAAAGACTGTTGGATACAGTAAAAGCACTATTAGCACAAAAACTTTAACATAACAGGTAAGGAGTCCATCAAACATATCGACAGGCATAAAGAAAAAATAATTTTAGCAGGGACAATCATTGTATAGTTGTAACTGCTTGTTCAAACATAATATACTTGTCTGCTGCTAGCATTTCATGTAATGCTGGGCTGATCCCTAAATAGAAGAAACATTTGTCATCGACAGTGCATTTTAAAAGATATCTAGATTATTGCTCACTTGTAGCTGTAGTTACTTTACCAATGGCAACTAAGTGCTACTGTATGGTTATGTGGTGTTCACATTGCTAGACTACAGTGCACTTCAATACAGATTTTAATTAGAAATCCATTTTGCAGAGTTTCTCATAGTATCTATGCACCATAGCACCAACAGCTATGGAGAAATCCTCCTAGGCACCAGTGAGCAGTTCTGAGAGTAGCTGAGGGTTGCTTCTTAGAGCACACAGCTGGCAGTCTTCTGACTATAATAATTTATAAATTATAATAATTATAATTGGTCATTTAGCAGACGCTCTTATCCAGAGCGACTTACAGGAGCAATTAGGGTTAAGTGCCTTGCTCGAGGGCACATCGACAGATTTTTCACCTAGTGGGCTCGGGGATTAGAACCAGCGACCTTTCGGTTACTGGCACAACGCTCTTAACCACTAAGCTACCTGCCGCCCCAAATAAGTGAAGATCTCACTCTGAGTACTATGTATTTTCAGACAGATCAACATGGAAAAACACATTGACATCCAAAGACACCACGGCACACACATACACACGCACACACACACACACGCACAGATTTAGCTCAAAATATCATCAACACATTTCCATGGAATGTGAACAGTCCATTTAACACACATCTCCTTCTTCTGTTAAACCTCTTTCAGGATGCAGGGATTCCTTCAACCTCTGTGTTGACTCTAGAAGATCCCAGGCAGCAGGCGATAGGGAACTGCATCAGTGTAGCGCTTCCAGTCTTTGCCGTACTTGCTGCTGCAGCGATGCTCGTCTCTCACACAGCGGTGCACCAGCAGGATGGTCATGTAGACGATGTAGAAGTAGGGATGAATGTGGCCGAAGCCGCAGGCTGCACAGTAGGCCAGCGAGCCCATCAGGTCGCCCGTGTAGTTGAGGTGGCGTGTCACTCCCCAGAAGCCGGAGGTCATGAGCTTGCTGTGGTGCAGGCTGCCGTCACCTGAGCGGTAGGCACACTCAATGAAGGTGGGCTTCTTGCCCCAGATGGAGCACTTCCCCTCAGTCCGGCGGAACAGGTCCTTCTGGTGGTTGGTGGAGCGGAAGATGTAGTAACCCACCAGACCCAAGAGGAGGACAGCAGCAGCATGGGCTGTGGAGAGCTGGACTGGGTTATACACCAGGTACAAGCCCTGTAGAAAGAGACATCATGCCAAACATACAGTATGATGTCATGACTGTTGAATAGGAAACAAGAAAGACTCCATAACAACTATATTTAACTCAGCCAGTATAATAGAAGCACATTACTCAAGTATAATTTCCATTACTTGTTAATGTTTTCGCAGTGGCTTCTGTGTTGGGTGTCTGACTACATTTTTTTTATGATGATGCGACTTACCTGCAGGGTGTAGAGGAAGGGCAGCCACACACAGTCTCCCCAGCCCAGGTACCAGCCAAAATGGTCATGGCAGATGTCAATCGTCTTCAGGTACCATGCCTCATTCCAGAAGAAGTCAAGAACATAGATTGCCTGGAGGAGGAGTTAATTACATTAGTAGCCATTCATTGGAGGCAAAGCTTGCCTAAACTGGTTCAGTCAAAGCTACCACTCTGTAAGGTCTAGTTTAGCTAGCTCACTCGCTAACAAACCCTGCCATCTAGTGGTAGAGGGAGAGGAGTGTCTCACCTGCAGCACATTAACCAGGATCATAGAGTTGGTCACATAGCCATAGAGCTCCTGCTGTTTGGCTGCATAGGAGAGGTTGATGAGAGTCCAGGCAACAATACCAGGTCTCCCGTTGAAGAAGAGCTTGAAGTCGAACCATTTCCCGATGCGGGGATTGAACTCAATGCCCATCATGTAGTTATAGAAGACGTTGCCTGTGAATTTGCTGGAAAATGGCAAAGGCAATTCAGATTAAATAGGCCCAAAGTGACAAGTTTGAATGAAATATAACATATTATTGGATGTAAGGGACAAGTTGTATATCCTAACATATTATTGAATGCATGTAGTCCTCACCAGTCCTCTGCATTGGTGGGGAAGAGGTAGGCCTTGACAAAGGCAAAGGTGGACACAGCATAGCCCAGTATGTTGGTGCACCACAGCAGTGGGATCCAGTTGTCGAAGATTATTGTGGGGGAAAACCAGTGGAAGTATTGAGCGTTGGCATACCACAGGGCATGGGTGATCAGCCACGACTGTAAACCATTGATCTCATACTTGTTTATGAGGCCTAGGAGAGAACAAACAATGGGGGGTGTTAACCAATGACTGCATATATGAATGGACAAAGCCATCGATCACGTGACACCATTCATTCCTATGTGAAGACTCAATAGCGCATTGAAGCCAAATGAAGTCGTTTAAGATGGCGTCTCATGGAGACAACATGTGCAGTTTAAGCTACTGTGGCTTCAATGAGAGGGGGCAGTCGTTCACCTTGGGTGGAACAGAGCCAAGTGTTTGCAGACGACTACACTTAACAGTAGTGTGCAGATAAAATATCTGTAAATATTAATAGAAACCAATCCTTTATGCAAACAATCTCCTAAAACAACGATTTTTTATTCTCAGTTGCCTTACCTGCTGGGGTGCGAGCTCCGTCCTGAACCCCACCTGCATAGCCAGGCAGGAACTTATGAGTGATATCAGGAACACACATGTAGAGCACCACCTGATGGAGAAACAGCGTCATTCCACAGAACTCCCATCGTTGAAATATTCTGATGCATTAAACCATAATAAAATGTAATTTACACACACAAGGCACTACCTATGGCTTTACCTGGAAGGAGACCCAGATGGTGTAGATCTGAGCAGCGGTCCAGGTGAAGGAGGGGGCCTTGTCCCAGATGGAGCGCAGGGTGGCCTCTCCACTGTAGAGCTCCACCAGGGGCTGGCTGACCGAGCATTGGTACTGGTCACACACCATGACAAAGAAGAACACCAAGGAAGGGGGCTGTGCACAGCAGCAGGATCACAGCGCTCAGAGAGAACCAGTCCACCTCCCTAACAGAGTGGTAGGTGTGGAGGGGATGGGGGAAATAACATACAGAGTTGTAATTGTGCAAATGCATAATCATTGGGAGCATTTATAATCATTAATAATTCCTTTCATTTTTCCTTTTTAAAAAAACGCTTGATACTCTACTCTAATTTATTAGAGTTGTTATTATTAGGCTGTAGATCTAATCTAACATAAACTCTATGGGCCGAGGACTTTGCCTTGTGGTGTTCTGCCAACTTTGTTAGAGTTCACTTTAAAGATAAGCATGACCGGTTTATCTTACAGGCTAATTTGAATTACACTGATTATATGACAAGAATGATACAGGCCAACATTTCAGTGACTGTCTGTCTATGTAATGACTGTCTGTCCATGTGGTGACTGTCCATCAGTGGAGGCTGCTGAGGGGAGGACGGCTCATAATAATGTCTGGAACGGAGCGAATAGAATGGCATCAAACACATGGAAACCATGTGTTCGGTGTATTTGATACCGTTCCATTTATTCTGCTCCAGCCATTACCAACGAGCCCATCCTCCCCAATGAAGGTGCCACCAGCCTCCTGTGCTGTCCATGTACAACACAAATCAACCCCTAGTTTTTCCTTTTTTAAATAATTCTGTAGTGAATCCATTCGCTAACCTGAGCTTTGTATAAGGGCTACAATGGCAAAAACATGTATGTACCTTTGAAACTTATTTTAGTGGCAGCGACCCATAACCCAATGACAACTGGAATAGACTTATAATGGAAAGATAATGTGTGGGTGGTGGAACCTTGTGAACTGATTCAAACTGGGTTGTTTATTTTCCTCAGTCAAATACTTTACTTCCTTTCCATACTACCTTTGTTGACTGAAGATTAAGCAGGTCCCCACACACAATCTTGCCCAATATTTTGAGCTGCTACCCTCCCCAAAGAGATATAAGGTCCCACTGTTCAGCAAAAATAGAAGCAGGGCATGTTTCATTCCGTCAGCCATCAGGCTGCTGAACAGTGGGACATAGGACAGATGTAGGCCCAATGGTCAGACAGTAGGCCACAGGGACTGTGAATATGTGTGCATTAACTATGAACTATCCAGTGGTTTTTGTATTATATATTTGTATGCAGACTTCACAAAATGAATTTCCATATAAAATGGACATTAAAGGTGGAATTCGCAGTTGGGGAAACAGCGCCACTGTCTGCCCCACGGCCGTTTCTGTTTTTGTTGACGAAGTAGAGGTGGAGAGTGTAAAACTAATTGCAGTACATATGCTGCTGCTCTATCAGTAACCACATTGTTGTTGTAATATCGCAAACTGATGTGGCAGTTTCACCATTAAGGATTGCAGCTTTAAGTATATCGTATCATAATCAGTCCTAAACCAACAGACAGTGAACCCAGTTACATGTGAACCCAGTTACATGTGTAGAGGAGTAATGACCATAGGCCTACAGTATGTCAGCTTCATCTTACCATGCTCTTCCCCACTGCCCTGCAGGTTCCTCTGTCGTCTCAGACGCCCCCCCATTAGAGCTGAGCTTGTGGCGCCTCCGGGTGGCCTCCATGGCCACTGCAGAAGACATCTCTAGAGAAACAGAGAGAGAGTAGAGAGTCATGGTAGTGACCAAGACATAACAGACCTACTGTACCTCATAGCCAATAAGGTAATGTGGGAAATCAAAGGATATCTGGTGTCCTTGAGGACCTGAGATAACACACTGTGTGATGGTGCTGTACATTATACATGGTTAAAGGGCTGGAATAATATTAGTAAACCTTAAGGATCGAAAGTCGATTACACAAGGCTGCTTGGGGTGTGTAACCAAGGGTGATAATGACAAGCCAGATGGCTACTATCTGATGCACACAGCATGCTATATATATATAATTTTTTTGTTGTTGTATTTATTTTACTTTTATTTAACTAGGCAAGTCAGTTAAGAACAAATTGTTATTTACAATGACGGCCTACAGATCAAATACAGATCAAAATGTCGCAAAACCTTTGGTCCCATTATGGTAAGGCCTACAGTTTGTCTGTTCAACACATGTACAATTCTAAAGGTTTGTGAATAGACTTGAGTATGATAATTCTACAATGAGAGGTTTTAGCACAATACAGTTGTGCATGTTAGAAAATCTAATGCAAGTGTTCAATTATATCAAACACATTGGAAAAATGTGTAACTACACTAATAAGACCATAACTGCCTACGGTATTTGACTACTACATGGGCTCAAGGACACCATAGAACCAAACAAACTTTTTCACCCCCATTATTAAACTACCCATTAATAATGTTGCTCATCCCCTCCATTAATATAAAAATATATGCCTGCATGACTAAGTCACTTTGGTTAAAAGTGTCTGCTAAATGGCATATATTATATTATATTCTTATACTATACATCAGAGGTAGGCCATACATCTGTACTGTAACAATCCACAGAAAACAGTCCAGAAACGGGGTCAGGAGGGGTAAAGCAAACCCCCAGGGATAGTAAAAGCAGGTCTCTGGGCATAGGTCATAGGTCATGTTATGTTAGCTGACACGTTTTGAACAAAATCCAACATAATGCTGGGGGGAACACCTGTTGTACATGGTTGACAAGGGCACTTTTGGCAGAGTGACAGTTGTCACATATATTCAAATAGGACACTCAAATAATGTTGTATACAAGACTGATTGAAGTACGTGCAGAAGGTGGGTTTCATAAAAAGCATAGACTTCATTCTCCACCCTTTTACTTATAATTACTGATGGGCCTACAACAAGCGTCAGCTGTTTTTACACCCGATTATTGAATAAATACCCGCAAGTCCCTGAAATTGTATTGTCAATAATTCTGCACGACATGTAGACAACGGATCGAATGAATAAATATACGTTAGATAGAGGCTATCACAAAACAATTGATAACAAAATTCAGGCCGGCCTAACGCAGCCATAACGCACCTCCAGAAAAAGCCATAACTCACATGGACAATAGACCATGCATAATGTCGAGGATCATAGACGGAAAAATAACATAAGCATTATAAGCAGACATTGTATTTCAATAGGTCTGTCTAAAATATAATTTCGTAGGCTACTCACCAACTTCTAGGACCTATGGGAAAACTCTTGGCCCAGATGTATATGATATAACGAATACAATTTTATATATTAACAACAGCTCCGCCCAAATAATAAGTGCGTGCGAACGTACAGCCAATAAGGTCTCAGTAGGGTACGCGCCGCACTGCCATATCGACCTCTGATTGGGTAACACGGACCTGAAGCCACTAGCGCCTGATGAGCTCATGAATGGATGGGCCATTACCTGGCAGTAAACCCAAATAACTCCTCAACATATTTTGAACCAATAAGTGGACATCAAATCAAATCAAATCAAATGTTATTTGTCACATACACATGTTTAGCAGATGTTATTGTGGGTGTAGCGAAATGCTTGTGCTTCTAGCTCGAAAGTGCAGTAATATCTAACAAGTAATATCTAACAATTTCAAAACATATACCCAATACACACAAAAGGAATGGAATTTAAGAATATATACATATATGGACAAGCAATGACAGAGCGGCATGGACTAAGATACATTAGAATATTATAGAATATAATACAGTATATACATATGAGATGAGTAGTGCAAGATATGTAAACATTATTTAAGTGACTAGTGTTCCATTTCTTAAAGTGGAACAAGTAGCTCTACTGTCTTCATGCATACATCTGTCATATGATGACAGAATACTACAGGATGAGTAGTTTATAAAATATATAAATATTTATAGATTGAGTAGTAGGCTACTTTTATATTGTCAATTTTTTCATGAAGTCACAACTTTACACAACCTGTGAAGTTTGAGATCTACTTTTCACCTTGGTTTTCCACAATATTTTTTATTTATGGAAGCATCACAATTTTTGTTGTCTGAAATATGGACAATTTCTAAAAGAATATGAAGACTACCGGTAGATCTACTCTTTACAGGTGTCCTAATTTTGTACAGCAGAGGCGCAGCAGCTGGTTGTGTAAATACGCTTCCTGTCTCTTTAATAAGATATGAAGGAGGAGGGGCAGTAGTGGCAAAGATTTTTTTAAACTAAACCAAGATAGACCACAGCCTGTCGTTTCAAATGGTTCATAGTGGGCAGAACAAGGAAGGAGGTGGGCAGAGCCAAGCACGAGCTAGCGAGATCCTATTGGCGCGTTCTAGCAACGTTTTGAAACTTTGGCAAAGGGTAAAGTCTACAAAACCAGTGAGATCAAATGTTCAATCGATGAAAAAATTAGCAGAATGTCGGCCAAAATCCATCTTCTCCCACTGCCGGCCACTCGGCTTCCTCTCACTACCATATTTGGTACATTGTTTGAGCAAGTGGAAACGCCAAGCGGATGCTTCACATTTATACATCCGGTGAAATATCTGTCTCATTGTTCTATCTGTAGTAGTAGTGCCCGGATGGAAGTGACACAACGTTACAACTCAGATAGTATTGAGTTGAGTGTTACAGTAACTCATTTGAGAATTGAGGGTCCAACGTTTGAATATCAGCAAGGCTAATTTGTTGCACCATTATATGAAATGGGACGAAAGGTTATATTAGCTACGTGCTCCTTGAATCAATGGGCACTAGATTTTGACGGAAACTTGGAGAGAATACTGAGAAGTAAGTCCGAATAAAATAATTGGGTAGCACACTCTGCAAGCCTCTCCGAAGTAAAAATCCATGAATTGAAGATGCATTGTCCATTTAACTTAAACTGTAGTGGGTTCATATACAGACCTGTCTTAAAGGTCATATGGTGTTGTAATGACCTATAGACATTCCACTCATAAGCCTGTAGTCAAATCTTGCAAATGAGGACTCTGGACATGACATTCACTTTAATAATGATATATTCTCATGACTAGGTATCGCGATAGCCAAGTCTCACGGGGCAAAATACAGATTGGGACCTGAACTGGAAATATGGTATTTGTTATTTACATCTCCTTCATCAAAGTTGTGTTTGTTGAGTACATTACAGTATACAGTAAGTAGCCTATTTAGCTTAATAGACAAATGTATGTCTTTGTTTGTGGGCTTTTTATTTGACTCCTATAAAGCTCTGTGCATTTGCATATAATACGCCTCCTACATAGCCATGCCTGCTCTGATTTTCCATGAACTTTCCCTCAACCTCCTCTCTTTCTGTCCCTGGTCATCAGTGGGTATGGCTGTGCGGACCACTTCTACGAGTCAGACACCCTGCTGCACTGCTTCCAGGTACTCAGGAAGCTGCTGGAGTCACCTGTCACCCAGGACATCATCTGCGATGTTGGCATGTCAGTCACACTTCTCACAAGCACTTCAGCTCTGTTGTGCCTCTCTTTGCCTCCTGCTAATGTTCTCTAAATCCCCCTCAGGCCCATCATGCATCATAATGTTCGGTACAACTGCAGAGTCATTTTCCTCAACGGGTAAGTCTCGGAAATAAGCAATTCTGAATGTATGTATGTTATGTGCATCGTCAAAAGCAATTAGGTGTAATTGTTCACCATTTTTACACTCTTTTATAAAGGAAAATCTTGTTGATCCGACCCAAGATGCTGCTGGCCAACTATGGGAACAACCGGGAGTTCCGCTGGTTTTCACCATGGAATAAACTCAGGTTAGTGATCAACATAGAATCTGCCTTCCTTCTGAACATAATGATAATACTTTGATAAACAGTGAAATTAAAGAGATTCTCCGGTACTTGTGTATACTTTTTAGCCAGTAGTTCTGAAAGTAGGCCAAAAGTAGTCTCAAATTGCATACTATGTCACATACAGTGCCTTCGGAAAGTATTCAGACCCCTTCACTTTTTCCACATTTTGTTACGTTACAGGCTTATTCTAAAATTGATTAAATCAATGTTTTTCCTCATCAATCTACACAAAATACCCCATAATGACGAAGCGAAAACAGGTTTTTAGACATGTTTTGCAAATGTATAACAAATAAAAAACAGAAATACCTTATTTACAAAAGTATTCAGACCCTTTGCTATGAGACTCGAAATTCAGCTCAGGTGCATCCTGTTTCCATTAATCATTCTTGAGATGTTTCTACAACTTGATTGGACTCCACCTGTGGTAAATTCAATTGATTGGACATGATTTGGAAAGGCCCACAGCTGTCTATATAAGGTCCCACAGTTGACAGTGCATGTCAGACCAAAAACCAAGCCATGAGGTTGAAGGAATTGTCCGTAGAGCTCCGAGACCGTATTGTGTCGAGGCACAGATCTGGGGAAGGGTACCAAACATTTCTGCAGCATTGAAAGTCCCCAAGAACACAGTGGCCTCCATCATTCTTAAATGGAAGAAGTTTGGAACCACCAAGACTCTTCCTAGAGCTGGCCGCCCAGCCAAACTAAGCAATCGGGGGAGAAGGGCCTTTTGAGGTGACCAAGAACCCAATGGTCACTCTGATAGAGTTCCTCTGTGGAGATGGGAGAACCTTCCAGAAGGACAACCATCTCTGCAGCACTCCACCAATCAGGCCTTTATGGTAGAGTGGCCAGACGGAAGCCACTCCTCAGTAAAAGGCACATGACTGCCCGCTTGGAGTTTGCCAAAAGGCACCTAAAGACTCTGAGACCATGAGAAACAAGATTCTCTGGTCTGATGAAACCAAGAGTGAACTCTTTGGCCTGAATGCCAAGCTTCACGTCTGGAGGAAACCTTGCACCATCCCTACGATGAAGCATGGTGGTGGCAGCATCATGCTGTGGGGATGTTTTTCAGCGGCAGGGACTGGGAGACTAGTCAGAATCGAGGGAAAGATGAATGGAGCAAAGTACAGAGAGATACTTGATGAAAACCTGCTCCAGAGCGCTCAGGATCTCAGACTGAGGCGAAGGTTCACCTTACAACAGAACAACGACCCTAAGCACACAGCCAAGACAACGTAGGAGAGGCTTCGGGACAAGTCTCTGAATGTCCTTGAGTGGCCCAGCCAGAGCCCGGACTTGAACCCGATCGAACATCTCTAGAGAGACCTGAAAATAGTGCAGCGATGCTCCCCATCCAACCTGACAGAGCTTGAGAGGATCTGCAGAGAAGAATGGGAGAAACTCCCCAAATACAGGTGTGCCAAGCTTGTAGCGTCACATCCAAGAAGACTCAAGGCTGTAATCGCTGCCAAAGGTGCTTCAACAAAGTACTGAGTAAAGGGTCTGAATACTTATGTGAATGTAATATTTCCGTTGTTTATTTTTAATACATTTGCAAACATTTCTAAAAACCTGGTTTTGCTTTGTAATTATGGGGTATTGTGTGTAGATTGATGAGGTGAAAAAACAAGTTTGATACATTTTAGAGTAAGGCTGTACCGTAACAAAATCTGGAAAAAGTCAAGGGGTCTGAATACTTCCGAAGGTACTGAATGTTCAGATATGTGCACCATGTCATTGCTCTCTCTCTAGCTCTGCTGTGTGGGCATCTTGCTAGTTTACACTCAAATGGCGAGGGTCTGAAGCTCATTGGCTAGAACTCGAATTGCTACGGGGCTGGCCCACATTGGGGAAAATGTAGGGAAAATGGCGCAGCACAGCTTCCAGAACACAGTTGCTTTCAAACTAGGGATTTTGTGGCTAATTGAAGTAAGACAGTAATTATGCTCATAGATTATGCATGTATGAGCTACACATGGACAATATCCAGCCCAAAGCGGGAGGTTTAAAAATACTCAGTAGTCGCCATAGTTCCGGAGCATGTCTTTAAATGTTTAGATCTAAGGTCAAAGCACATTTGGTAAGTGGAAAAGGACAATAAGCCATTTATTTCACATCACACATACTGTAATAACATATACGCATTTTGCTACACCTGTCATAACACCTGCAAATCTCTGTACGCGACCAATAAACTTTTGCTTTGAACATGGCATTACTGTGCTTGTCTGCCACAGACATGTGGAGGAGTACTTCCTGCCCAGGATGATCCAGGACGTGACAGGACAGGTAGGATCCATCTCTCTCCTTACCGCTCTCTCTAATGGCGGGGTGTTGGTATGCACTAACAAGGATCAGTGATAAGAGGATTATTTGCACGTTTCTTCATTTAAAGGGAAACTGTATCATTATTATACAGTACCAGTCAAAGGTTTGGACACACCTACTCATTACAGGGTTTTTCTTTGTTTACTATTTTCTACATTGTAGAATAATAGTGAAGACCTCAAAACTATGAAATAACACATATAGAATCATGTAGTAACCAAAATAGTGTTAAACAAATCAAAATGTGCACACTCTTGGCATTCTCTCAACCAGCTTCACGAGGTAGTCACCTGGAATGCATTTCAATTAACAGGTGTGCCTTGTTAAATGTTAATTTGTGGCATTTCTTTCCTTCTTAATACGTTTGAACCAATCAGTTGTGTTATGACAAGGTATGGGTGGTATACAGAAGATAGCCCTATTTGGTAAAAGACCAAGTCCATATTATGGCAAGAACAGCTCAAATAAGCAAAGACAAATGACAGTCCATCATTACTTTAAGACATGAAGGTCAGTCAATCCAGAAAATGTCAAGAACTTTGAAAGTTTCTTCAAGTGCAGTCGCAAAAACCATCAAGCACTATGATGAAACTGGCTCTTATGAAGACCGCCAAAGGAAAGGAAGACCCAGAGTTACCTCTGCTGCAGAGGATAGGTTAATTAGAGTTAACTGCACCTCAGATTGCAGCCCAAATAAATGCTTCACAGAGTTCAAGTAACAGACACATCTCAACATCAACTGTTCAGAGGAGACTGCATGAATCAGGCCTTCATGGTCGAATTGCTGCAAAGAAACCACTACTAAAGGACACCAACAATAAGAAGAGACTTGCTTGGGCCAAAAAACACGAGCAATGGACATTAGACCGGTGGAAATCTTTATTTTGGTCTTAGTCCAAATTTGAGATTTTTGGTTCCAACCGCTGTGTCTTTGTGAGACGCAGAGTAGGTGAACGGATGATCTCTGCCATGTGTGGTTCCCACTGTGAAGCATGGAGGAGGAGGTGTGATGGTGTAGGGGTGCTTTGCTGGTGACGCTGTCAGTGATTTATTTAGAATTCAAGGCACACTTAACCAGCATGGCTATCACAGCATTCTGCAGCGATACGCCATCCCATCTGGTTTGTGCTTAATGGGAATATAATTCGTATTTCAACAGGACAATGACCCCAAACACACCTCCAGGCTGTTGTAAGGGCTATTTGACCAAGCAGAGGGATGGAGTGCTGCATCAGATGACCTGGCCTCCACAATCCCCCGACCTCAACCCAACTGAGAAGGTTTGTGATGAGTTGGAAAAGCAGCCAACAAGTTCTCAGCATTTGTGGGAACTTCAAAACTGTTGGTAAAGCATTCCTCATGAAGCTGGTTGAGAGAATGCAAAGCTGTCATTTTTAAAATGTAACTAGGCAAGTCAGTTAAGAACAAATTGTTACTTTCAATGATGGCCTACCCCGACCAAACCCGGACGATGCTGGCTAATTGTGCGCCGCCCTATGGGATTCCCAATCACGGCTAGATTGTGATACAGCCTGGAATGGAACCAGGGTCTGTAGTAGTGACGCCTCTAGCGCTGAGATGCAGTGCTTTAGACCGCTGCACCACTCAGGAGTCATGAAGGCAAAGGATGGCTACTTTGAAGAATCAAAAATCTAAAATATATGTAGATTTGTTTATGAATTTTTTGGTTACTACATGATTCCAATATGTGTTATTTCATAGTTTTGATGTTTTCACTATTATTCTACAATGTAAAAAATAGTAAAATAAAGAAAAACCCTTGAATGAGTAGGTGTATCCAAACTTTTGACTGGTACTGTATATGTGCAGCAATCAATAGTATCATCCATTTAATGTGATCGTTAATGAAATTCCCTTTCCATTGTTCTGTCTCTTGAAGGACACTGTCCCCTTTGGTGACTGCGTCCTCTCAACCAAAGACACCTGCATCGGGAGTGAGATCTGTGCTGAGCTGTGGAACCCTAGGAGGTACATTCAGTTAAGAGTCTCAAATGAAGGACTCTTTTCAAACCTAAATCAATTTCTGTAATGAGTTGTGAAATACTGTGTGTCGTTAGTTATTTGTGTAATGGATTGAAAGAGAGCTCAAATGTTTTTGAGAGATTGAGTGAGATTGCAAATGTGAATAATTATATACAGTGTGTGTGTGTGTGTGTTTCTAGTAAGCTGCAGTCTGTAATGATGTACAGTTGATGTCGGAAGTTTACATACACCTTAGCCAAATACATGTAAACTCAGTTTTTCACAATTCCTGACATTTAATCCTAGTAAAAATTCCCTGTCTTAGGTCAGTTAGGATCACCACTTTATTTTAAGAATGTGAAATGTCAGAATAATTGTAGAGAGAATGATTTATTTCAGCTTTTATTTCTTTCATCACATTCCCAGTGAGTCAGAAGTTTACATACACTCAATTAGTATTTGGTAGCATTGCCTTTAAATTGTTTAACTTGGGTCAAACGTTTTGGGTTGCCTTCCACAAGCTTCCCACAATAAGTTGGGTGAATTTTGGCCCATTCCTCCTGACAGAGCTGGTGTAACTGAGTCAGGTTTGTAGGCCTCCTTGCTCGCACACGCTTTTTCAGTTCTGCCCACAAATCTTCTATAGGATTAAGGTCAGGGCTTTGTGATGGCCACTCAAATACCTTGACTTTGTTGTCCTTAAGCCATTTTGCCACAACTTTGGAAGTATGCTTGGGGTCATTGTCCATTTGGAAGACCCATTTGCGACCAAGCTTTAACTTCCTGACTGATGTCTTGAGATGTTGCTTTAATATATCCACATAATTTTCCTTCCTCATGATGCTATCTATTTTGTGAAGTGCACCAGTCCCTCCTGCAGCAAAGCACCCCCACAGCATGATGCTGCCACCCCCGTGCTTCACGGTTGGGATGGTGTTCTTCAGCTTGCAAGCCATCCCCTTTTTCCTCCAAACATAACGATGGTCATTATGGCCGAACAGTTCTATTTTTGTTTCATCAGACCAGAGGACATTTCTCAAAAAAGTAAGATCTTTGTCCCCATATGCAGTTGCAAACCATAGTCTGGCTTTTTTTATGGCAGTTTTGGAGCAGTGGCTTCTTCCTTGCTGAGCGGCCTTTCAGGTTATGTCGATATAGGACTCGTTTTACTGTGGATATAGATACTTTTGTACCTGTTTCCTCCAGCATCTTCAGAAGGTACTTTGCTGTTGTTCTGGGATTGATTTGCACTTTTCGCACCAATCTCTAGGAGACAGAACGCGTCTCCTTCCTGAGCGGTATGACGGCTGCGTGGTCCCATGGTGTTTATACTTGCGTACTATTGTTTGGACAGATGAACGTGGAAATCGCTCCCAAGGATGAACCAAACTTGTGGAGGTCTACAAAAAAATTTTCTTGGCTGATTTCTTTTGATTTTCCCATGATGTCAAGCAAAGAGGCACTGAGTTTGAAGGTAGGCCTTGAAATACATCCACAGGTACACCTCCAATTGACTCAAATGATGTCAATTAGCCTATCAGAAGCTTCTAAAGCCATGACATCATTTTCTGGAATTTTTCAAGCTGTTTAAAGGCACAGTCAACTTAGTGTATGTAAACTTCTGACCCACTGGAATTGTGATTAAGTGAATTATAAGTGAAATAATCTGTCTGTAAACAATTGTTGGAAAAATTACTTGTGCACAAAGTAGATGTCCTAACCGACTCTCCAAAACTATAGTTTGTTAACAAGAAATTTGTGGAGTGGTTGGAAAACGAATTTTAATGACTCCAACCTAAGTGTATGTAAATTTCCGACTTCAACTGTATGTGGGAATGTCATGTGCTTGGCAGCCCCCATGTGGACATGGGTCTAGATGGTGTGGAGATCTTCACCAACTCCTCAGCCAGCTACCACGAGCTACGCAAGGCAGACCACAGAGTCAACCTAGTTAAATCAGCCACCACAAAGGTGATCATACACACGGATGGACACATGCACGGACGCATGCACATGTTATACAGCCCTCAAACTCAACTCTGGACCTTGAAGCCAGTCCCACTGCATTTTTTAATTGTTCCCCTCTAATCAGGGACTGATTAGGGTCACCAGGTGTGTGCAATTAATTATCAGCTAGAACAGAAAACCAGCAGGCTCCGGACCTCGTAGTGTAAGAGTTGAGTACCCCTGTTATACAGGATGTGTAGTGAGAATAGAGGGACTGCATGTTGCCAGCCCAGTAACCACTTGGAGGCACTGTTTTGTCATTATAATACTGCTCCATTTCATACAGTGTTTTGCCTATATATTTTGCCTATATAGTTTGATTTGTTTAACACGTTTTTGGTTACCACATGATTACATTTGTGTTATTTCATCGTTTTTATGTCTTCACTATTATTCTACAATGTAGAAAATAGTAACAATTATGAAAAACCCTTGAATGAGTAGGTGTCCAAACTGTTGACTGGTACTGTATATTTTGATTATTTTGAGTTTGGGTAGCACCTATCATTACATTGATCCTAGCCGTGTGTAATAACACTGTAATTACTACAATAACAACATTGTTGTTACATGTTATTTTAGTAAATTGTTATTGCATAGTAATGAAGTTGGGCGGTTTCTGATATTACAAGTGGATTAAGGACAATTGTGTTATTGTTTTGCACAGAGTGGGGGGATCTACATGTTTGCCAATCAGAAGGGTTGTGATGGAGACAGACTCTACTATGATGGTTGTGCCATGGTGGCCATCAACGGGGACATAGTGGCCCAGGGAACACAGTTCTCCCTGGATGACGTGGTAAGGACAGGCTCAACATAACAGAAAGTAAATGTGAGAACAATATCTTACAGCCTATTCTTTCACCCTCACTGCACTCTCACGTCACATACCAGGGTGAGCTGTGTTTGATTATATGGACTGGCCAAGTCAGCATGTTGTATAATGTTATTGTTAATGTTAGCCATTCCCAAAGTGAACCATTGGACAATGTGGAACCTCTGTATGTGTGTGTGTCTGTTTCAGGAGGTTGTGACTGCCACTCTTGATCTGGAGGATGTCCGCAGCTACAGAGGAGAGCGTTGCCACCCACACGTGGTGAGCTGACATCTCTCTTCAAAACAGGGCACTTTTTACTTCTCAGAAATGGTAGGTGTGATTCAGAAACACATTACTTCCCAAGTGAAACTAGCCACTCAAGGGAAGCCAGAGGTAATCCTGTTCAACATTCAACTCCCTAAGCCAAGGCTCTGTCTCTGTCTGGTGTTGTCTTTCCTCCCTATACTGGGTACACACTCAAGAGTCACTTTACCTTCTCCCTTCAGTTATTGACTCAGACTCAAAATAGCATGCCCATTACATTTTAAATGTCACGTGGTTTGCTGATATGTCTTCTGCTCCACTGTGTTCAGGAGTTTGAGCACAAACCGTGCCATAGAGTCAAAGTGGACTTCTCCCTGTCTGATTGTGAAGATGTCTACCTCCCCACTCACCAGCCCATTGAGTGGCAGTTCCACACCCCTGAGGAGGAGATTAGGTATGGCACCCCCTGATAAAGACTGTGATCACAAGAGTGTTGTGTGGCTAAAATGCTTCCAAAAATAAATAGTAGCTATTTTTGACTGTGTCTCCCTGTATTTCGTTTATTCACCATGGAATCATTGGAAACAGACAGAGATAGCAGCCTACTATGTTGCCACCCAGTGGATTCAGGAGCTTGGTGTGTGACATTCATTTGCCCTGACTGCTCCCTTTGTGTCTGAAACTGAGCTGCATGTCTTTGGTGGAGCCAATCCCTGTCTGAGAGAAGTTAAAACTAGCAAGACACGTTTTTTAAAAGTTACTTTCCAGATCATGGGACTGCCCACCTCTTTACAGTTTACAGTGTACACATACAGTGGGGAGAACAAGTATTTGATACACTGCCGATTTTGCAGGTTTTCCTACTTACAAAGCATGTAGAGGTCTGTAATTTTTATCATAGGTACACTTCAACTGTGAGAGACGGAATCTAAAACAAAAATCCAGAAAATCACATTGTATGATTTTTAAGTAATTAATTTGCATTTTATTGCATGACATAAGTATTTGATACATCAGAAAAGCAGAACTTAATATTTGGTACAGAAACCTTTGTTTGCAATTACAGAGATCATACGTTTCCCTTAGGTCTTGACCAGGTCTGCACACACTGCAGCAGGGATTTTGGCCCACTCCTCCATACAGACCTTCTCCAGATCCTTCAGGTTTCGTGGCTGTCGCTGGGCAATGCAGACTTTCAGCTCCCTCCAAAGATGTTCTATTGGGTTCAGGTCTGGAGACTGGCTAGGCCACTCCAGGACCTTGAGATGCTTCTTACGGAGCCACTCCTTAGTTGCCCTGGCTGTGTGTTTCGGGTCGTTGTCATGCTGGAAGACCCAGCCACGACCCATCTTCAATGCTCTTACTGAGGGAAGGAGGTTGTTGGCCAAGATCTCGCGATACATGGCCCCATCCATCCTCCCCTCAATACGGTGCAGTCGTCTTGTCCCCTTTGCAGAAAAGCATCCCCAAAGAATGATGTTTCCACCTCCATGCTTCACGGTTGGGATGGTGTTCTTGGGGTTGTACTCATCCTTCTTCTTCCTCCAAACACGGCGAGTGGAGTTTAGACCAAAAAGCTCTATTTTTGTCTCATCAGACCACATGACCTTCTCCCATTCCTCCTCTGGATCATCCAGATGGTCATTGGCAAACTTCAGACGGGCCTGGACATGCGCTGGCTTGAGCAGGGGGACCTTGCGTGCGCTGCAGGATTTTAATCCATGACGGCGTAGTGTGTTACTAATGGTTTTCTTTGAGACTGTGGTCCCAGCTCTCTTCAGGTCATTGACCAGGTCCTGCCGTGTAGTTCTGCGCTGATCCCTCACCTTCCTCATGATCACTGATGCCCCACAAGGTGAGATCTTGCATGGAGCCCCAGACCGAGGGTGATTGACCGTCATCTTGAACTTCTTCCATTTTCTAATAATTGCGCCAACAGTTGTTGCCTTCTCACCAAGCTGCTTGCCTATTGTCCTGTAGCCCATCCCAGCCTTGTGCAGGTCTACAATTTTATCCCTGATGTCCTTACACAGCTCTCTGGTCTTGGCCATTGTGGAGAGGTTGGAGTCTGTTTGATTGAGTGTGTGGACAGGTGTCTTTTATACAGGTAACGAGTTCAAACAGGTGCAGTTAATACAGGTAATGGGTGGAGAACAGGAGGGCTTCTTAAAGAAAAACTAACAGGTCTGTGAGAGCCGGAATTCTTACTGGTTGGTAGGTGATCAAATACTTATGTCATGCAATAAAATGCAAATGAATTACTTAAAAATCATACAATGTGATTTTCTGGTCTCTCACAGTTGAAGTGTACCTATGATAAAAATTACAGACCTCTACATGCTTTGTAAGTAGGAAAACCTGCAAATTCGGCAGTGTATCAAATACTTATTCTCCCCACTGTACATACCCTTCCATTCATGTGACAAACAGCACAGGGCCTTCATTCTAACCCGCAATTTGACCCATGTCAAATACATGTACATGATTGTCTCTGTGTTCTTGTCTTTGTTGTCTTCAGCCTGGGTCCAGCATGTTGGCTTTGGGACTACCTGAGGAGAAGTGGTCAGGTGAGTAGTCCTATATTAGGTGTAAATTATGTGTAAATGTGCTTATGCTTACTTGCTTATTACTGAATATTTGTACTGAATATACAAAGAATATACAAAATGTACTGAATATTTATATTGTCTGTCTATCTCTATCCATAAACACTCCTGTTATTCCCTGCTCCAGGCTGGTTTCCTCCTGCCACTCAGTGGCGGTGTGGACAGTTCCTCTACAGCCTGCATTGTCTACTCCATGTGTGTGCTGGTCTGCCAGGCAGTCAGAGATGGCAGTGAGTACTGGACTGGACTCTGTACAGGCCCATAGTGTTTTGTTGTGTCCCACAAGTGACACAAAAGCACATGGCTCCTATTCTAAAGTTTGACGTTGCATACAAAGTTTGTCACTACAGGTTCTGACCACGCAATCTTTCCTTCTCTCTCCCTCCCTCTCCCTATATCAGACTCTCAGGTGCTGGAGGATGTTCAACGGGTAGTGAGTGATGTGTCCTACACCCCTCTGGACCCACGGGAGCTGTGTGGACGCATCTTCACCACCTGCTACATGGCCAGTGAGAACTCCTCGGAGGGAACCCGTAACAGGGCCAAAGAGCTGGCCGCTCAGGTTGGCAGGTGAGCGTCACTGGCCCCATCATAGTTGGGCAGTTACAGAATAACAAATTAGAACACAATGAGACTTGCATCTGTTACAAATCTCACCTTATGCTTTCCTTCGAAAGTGATTTTTCTTCTTTGTATTTCTCGTTTATTCAGCTCACACATGAACCTCAATATCGACATGGCAGTGAAAGGCATGCTGGGAATCTTCTCCATGGTTACGGGAAAGTGTCCCCAGTTCCGTGTTAATGGTGGAAGCACCAGAGAAAACCTTGCCCTACAGAATGTGCAGGTGGGTTAAGTGTAAAGGGTCAAGGAGTACTCCAGTACATTGTTCAGGTGTTACCTGAAACACTACAACAAAGCAGAGACCCGTTTTTGCAAAGTGAACAAAAACATTTGTTTCTGAGATGAGCAGGGCTTTCCCCCTGCTTGCATTTCTCTTTTATTGCGCCATTTACTTGCATATTCACACATGCTCACTACAATCCTCACACCATGTTTCAGTTAAACGGTCTGATCTGAGTAAGCAATTGTGTGGTGTGTGAATTTTATGATCCTTTATCCACTATCCTGTCCCACCCAGGCCCGTATCAGGATGATTCTGGCCTACCTCTTTGCTCAGCTCTGTCAGTGGGCTGAGGGTAAACCTGGTGGCCTCCTAGTCCTTGGCTCAGCCAATGTGGATGAGAGGTTAGTGAGTACTAGAGAATGTCAATGTTTCATTTAGATATTTAATATTTTCTGTCTCACTTTTTAAAAAACTGTGCTGTCTGCTTCAGTCCAACAGAAGAGTACGAAGAGTATGACCTCTCTCTGTATTTGACCCCTCTCTGTTATTGACCCTCACCTCAATACCCCTCTTTTCTGCAGCCTCACTGGCTACTTCACTAAGTATGACTGCTCCAGTGCTGACATCAACCCCATTGGGGGCATCAGTAAGACAGACCTGAAGAGCTTCCTGCAGTACTGTGTCGAACAGTTCCAGCTCACCGCCCTCAGAAGGTGAAGCCCGCTGCTCTGCAATCCCATCTTCTTCTCTGGGATGATACAAAACAGTCACTATAATGTCAAGAGACTCACCATGTTGGCAACTGTCTTTATGTGCTCTGTAGTATCATGGCTGCACCTCCCACTGCAGAGCTGGAGCCCCTGACGGACGGCCAGGTGTCGCAGACTGATGAGGTAACAAGTCAACATGTCACCTCTAGTGGAGCCAGATGTGTCCTTGTGTCACGGTGCAGGGGAAGAGGAGTGCCCAGGAGTTCGCGTTGGAATTCCGTACTCTAGCGGCGGATGCAGGGTGGAATGAGCGGGCCCTCATCGATCACTACCGCTGTAGTCTACGTGAGGACGTCCGTAGGGAGCTGGCCTGTCGGGACACCAGCCTTTCGTTCGACCAGTTAGTCGACATGTCCATCAGGCTGGATACCCTGCTAGCTACCCGCGGACGTCCCGAGGGGGGTCCGTCCATTTCACCCTCCAGCGCCTCCGAGCCGTGCCCCATGGAGCTCGGGGGCGCTGGCGCTAGAGAGAGGAGGGGTCGGAGTACGAGGGGGTCCATCTCCTGCACTAACTGTGGTCGGGGAGGACACACCGCGGCTAGGTGCTGGGGATGGCCTCCTAGGGGAGAAGACGACAGGCCCCGCACTGGGGAGTCCTTCCAGGTGAGTAGGCGCCCCACTCACCCAGAGCTCTCTGTTGCGCACTTATGTATACCTGTACGTTTTCCACAGGTAGCACCTCATTCCCAGCATAAGGCGCTGGTAGATTCAGGCGCGGCTGGGAATTTTGTTGATAGGAAATTTTGTTTAGATTTAGGGATTCCCCTTCGTCCTGTTGACGTCCCCTTCCCCGTTCATGCCCTAGATAGCCGTCCGTTGGGATCGGGCTTGATCAGGGAGGTCACGGCGCCACTTAGGATGTGTGCGCAGGGGGGTCATCAGGAGATGATCCAGCTATTTCTGATCGACTCGCCTGCGTATCCGGTGGTGCTGGGCATGCCCTGGTTGAGTAACCATAACCCGTCGATTTCGTGGCAGGAGAGGGCTCTGATGGAGTGGTCTGACCAGTGTGTGGGTCGATGTTTAGGCGTTTCCGTAGGGGCTACCTCGGTGGAGAGTCCAAACCAGGTGCCCGCATTGCACGTTCCCCCTGAGTATGGGGATTTGGCTATTGTGTTCAGTAAGTCAAGGGCGACGCAGTTGCCTCCCCATAGGCAGGGAGATTGTGCGATAGAACTCCAGGCAGGAGCTGCGCTCCCACGGAGCCATGTGTATCCTCTGTCTCAGGAGGAGAAGAGAGCTATGGAGACTTACATAGACGAATCTCTGAGACAAGGATACATACGGCCCTCCACTTCCCCCGCGTCCTCGAGTTTCTTTTTTGTGAAGAAAAAGGATGGTGGGTTACGCCCGTGCATTGATTACCGTAGTCTCAATCAGATCACGGTGAAGTACAGTTATCCACTCCCGCTGATTGCGACCATGACGGAGTCATTGCACGGGGCGAGGTTCTTCACTAAATTAGATCTCAGGAGCGCATACAACTTGGTGCGCATTAGGGAGGGCGATGAATGGAAGACAGCCTTTAGTACCACCTCGGGCCATTACGAGTATCTAGTCATGCCATACGGGTTGATGAACGCTCCTTCAGTTTTCCAATCATTCGTGGATGAGATATTCAGGGACATGCAGGGGCAGGGGGTGGTCGTGTACATAGATGACATTCTCGTGTACTCGTCTACCCGAGTCGAGCATGTGGCTCTGGTGCGCCGAGTGTTGCGGAGGCTGTTGGAGCACGACCTGTATGTCAAGGCAGAGAAGTGTCTGTTTTTCCAGGAGTCGGTCTCCTTTTTGGGTTATCAGTTGTCTGCGTCAGGGGTGTGGATGGAGGTAGACCGGGTGTCGGCCGTGCGTAATTGGCAAACGCCAACCACTGTGAAGGAGGTGCAGCAGTTTTTGGGGTTTGCGAATTACTACCGGAGGTTTATCCGGGGTTTTGGACAGGTGGCAGCTCCCATAACGTCTCTTTTGAAGGGGGGTCCGGTGCGTCTGCAGTGGTCAGCCGAGGCGGACAGGGCGTTTGGGAGGCTGAAGGACCTGTTTACCTCGGCTCCGGTGCTGGCGCATCCGGATCCCTCTTTACCATTTCAGGTAGAGGTGGACGCGTCAGAGGCCGGTATAGGAGCCGTGCTTTCGCAATGGTCCGGCACACCACCTAAACTCCGCCCCTGTGCTTTTTATTCCAAGAAGCTCAGTCCGGCGGAGCGAAATTATGACGTAGGGGACAGGGAGCTGTTAGCCGTGGTACAGGCCCTAAAGGTGTGGAGGCACTGGCTTGAGGGGGCTCAACACCCTTTCCTCATTTTGACGGACCACCGTAACCTGGAGTACATCCGGGCAGCGAGGAGACTGAACCCTCGCCAGGCGCGGTGGAATATGTTTTTGACCCGGTTCGTATTTAAGATCACGTACATCCCTGGGTCACAGAACGGTAAGGCAGACGCACTGTCTCGGCGGTATGACACGGAGGAGAGGTCCGTGGAGCCCACTCCCATACTGCCGGAGTCTTGTCTGGTGGCACCGGTAGTGTGGGAGGTCGATGCTGAACTCGAGCGGGCGTTGCGCACCGACCCTAGTCCACCTCAATGCCCGGAGGGTCGGAAGTACGTTCCGCTCGAGGTTCGGGATCGATTGATCTATTGGGCTCACACGTCACCCTCCTCTGGACACCCTGGTATCGGCCGGACTGTGCACTGCCTTAGTGCTAAGTACTGGTGGCCCACGTTGGCGAGGGATGTGAGGGTTTATGTTTCCTCCTGCTCGGTGTGCGCCCAGTGTAAGGCGCCTAGACATCTGCCTAGGGGTAAGTTACTACCCCTGCCCGTTCCACAACGACCATGGTCTCACCTCTCGGTGGATTTCATCACTGACCTTCCTCCTTCACAGGGGAATACCACTATACTGGTCGTTGTGGACCGGTTCTCTAAGGCCTGTCGTTTGCTCCCTATGCCGGGCCTTCCTACTGCCCTACAGACCGCCGAAGCGCTATTCACCCATGTGTTCCGGCACTACGGGGTACCCGAGGATATTGTGTCTGATCGAGGTCCCCAATTTACCTCCAGAGTCTGGAGAGCCTTTATGGAGCGGTTGGGGGTCTCGGTGAGCCTCACCTCGGGTTACCATCCGGAGAGTAATGGGCAGGTGGAACGTGTGAACCAGGATGTGGGTAGGTTTCTTAGAACATACTGCCAGGACCGGCCAGAGGAGTGGGCAAGGTACGTTCCCTGGGCCGAAATGGCCCAGAATTCCCTACGCCATTCCTCCACTAACCTAACCCCTTTCCAATGTGTGTTAGGTTACCAGCCGGTTCTGGCACCTTGGCAGCAGAGCCAGATCGAGGCTCCTGCGGTGGATGAGTGGGTGCGGCGCTCGGAGGAGACATGGAACGCTGCACACGTCCACCTGCAGCGAGCCCTCCGTCGTCAAAAGGCGAGCGCCGATCTCCACCGCAGTGAGGGACCGGTGTACGCACCTGGTGATCGAGTCTGGCTCTCTACCAGAAACCTGCCCCTCCGCCTGCCCTGTCGGAAACTGGGTCGGCGGTTTGTATGGCCATTTAAAGTCCTGAGAAGATTGAACGAGGTGTGTTACAGATTACAACTACCTGTTGAGTATAAAAGTATTAACCCCTCGTTCCATGTGTCTCTTCTCAGGCCGGTGGTAGCTGGCCCACTCCAAGAAAATTAGATCAGGGAGACTCCTCCGCCCCCATTGGACATCGAGGGGGCACCGGCGTACTCCGTGCGATCCATCTTGGATTCGAGACGTCGGATGGGGGGTCTCCAATATCTAGTGGAGTGGGAGGGGTACGGCCCGGAGGAACGGTGCTGGGTGCCGAGGAGAGACATTTTGGACCCGTCTCTCCTGTCGGAATTCCATCGTAGTCACCCGACGCACCCTGCTCCGCGTCCTCCTGGTCGTCCCCAAGGCCGGAGTCGGCGCACGTCTGGAGCCGCGCGTCAAGGGGGGGGTACTGTCACGGTTTCGGTCGAGGCTGCCTCTCTTCCTTGCTCGGGCAGGCTTCGGCGTTCGTCGTCTCCGGAATACTAGCTGCCACCGTTGTATGTTTCTATGTTCGTTTGGTCTGGTCTGGTATTGTACACCTGTTGTCGTTTAGTGTCATTAGTGTCCTATAAGTTCTCGTTGTGTTTGTCAGGTGTTGTGTGTGATTGTTTTCACTGTCGTGCGTTGTGCTATTTCGTATACTGTTTGCTCGGTTGAGCTGTCCTCCTATGTATAGGAGTGTTTTGTCGCACATGTTTAGTGCGCCCGTTTATTTTCGCCTGCGTGCGGAGTTCTCGCCTCAGGGCATTTCATCGTGTTTGATTTTGTGCATTCACTAAAGTCTTTTGGACTTATTTTCTGCGTCCTGCGCCTGATTCCACCACCACACCCACCTACAGCAACACTGACACCTTGGGCCTCTGATTATGTTGATTGTTGTGGGTGTGGGCCTACCACATATGAAGTGACAACTCATTTATCTTTATTTCTTTCGTTTTCTCTTTTTTTCTCACATACTGTACACACACTACTATGATTGACCTTTCTTTATACGTATTAAGAAAAGTTGACATTTAAGACTTACAGGTGAAAGTCATACCATAAACCCTCAGCTCTATTCAGCTTGACTAGTGTTGTTATTGTCCGCCATGTTTTTCCTCTGTGGCTGTGTTGACTATGTGGCTCTACTTCCCCTTGTCCATGATTGCTGTCTATATATACCACCTCACAAGCTTGGAAGATGAATGTCTCTTCAGGGATGTCATCTGTGCACATGGCTTGTTCTGTTATGGTGTAATCTGACCTCTTCCTTATCCCTTGCTGTCGTCCTCTCTCTTGCTCTCTCTGTGTCCCCCTCTCATCAGTCTGATATGGGGATGACATACTCGGAGCTGTCTGTGATTGGCCGGCTCAGGAAGATCTCCAAGTGCGGCCCGTACAGCATGTTCTGCAAACTCATCCACACGTGGAGGGAGGCCCTCTCCCCTCTACAGGTCACTCTACACCCCTGTATCGCACACCATTTACTATTTTCATACTATTAGATGCCTACCATGTAAAACAAGAAAAAACCTCAATGATAGAGTGTTATGTTTCACACAAAGTCATGTTTACACTTTAACCTGTGTCCTCCCCTTCATCTACACTGATTTAAGTGGATTTAACAAGTGACATCAATAAGGGATCATAGCTTTCACCTGGATTCTCCTGGTTAGTCTATGTCATGGAAAGAGGAGGTGTTCATAATGTTTTGTACACTCAGTGTATGCCATCTATTTGTATATTTGAGAATAACACTTCTTCTGACCATTGACATTTCAGGTGGCAGCCAAAGTGAAACACTTCTTCCAGATGTATTCTGTGAACAGACACAAAATGACAACTGTTACACCATCCTACCATGCTGAGAGCTATGGCCCTGATGACAACCGCTTTGACCTCAGGCCATTCCTCTACAACACACGCTGGTCCTGGCAGTTCAGAGCCATTGATAATCAGGTGGGGATCTAACAGTCAACATTACATTTTACTGTGGATCTCTCACATTTGGTTGTTCCCTCCTCATCGGCTTTATCGGATTTGATATAATCTCACAAGAATTGTGAATGTTCACTGAGTCCTCTGAACATGGTAAGTTATTGTTATTTCATACACAGGTGTCCAAGATGGAGGTTGGGAATGACTGCCACGACTAAGGTTCCTCCCAATGCCAGAGCAACATCCCAAAGAAACCATCTAAACTGTGACAATAAACACTGTGGTGCAACAGTGCAACTCCAAACAATCTTACTGTACACACAGTGACTTCTTACTGTGCAGTATTCCAATTTCTGAAAATAGACCTAGACTATTGATTGATATTGTAGGCTCTGACAATGAAGGCTATTCAAAATGAGTATTTTGTGTCAGTGGTTCAGCATTATGTGCATGATGTTGTCATTCTACATGCTCTAGGCCAACTTAAACTGGAGGCCAAAAGGAGTAACAATGTCTTGTTAAACATATTCACAACAGTCTATTCTCTCAGGTTAAAATACAATACACTTGTTCATTGAAATATTGATGTTCAGCTTTACTATTAAACACGTTTTTATCTTGGTTTGTTCTGTTGTCATCAATGATGTGTAAAACATGAGCCTAAGTGGTCATTGTTTTTACAAAGGTAGTGGCAAACTGATGTTAAAACGAAGTGTGAAACGTCTTTTACGCACCACTTTGATTGGCGCGTAAAAAGCTGCTGACTAACAAAATAGAAAGTAAACTACCAGTAGACTGTGCCAAAGTAGACAACCATTGTATTACATAAGAGCTTCTAGAGGCATTTTTTTTGGACAGGCTGACTCTTTTGAGTTGCGCGCCATATAGCTCACTGGCGCGGTGAGTCACAAGCTGGTGAAAAGTGATACTTGAGGACACAGGGAGGAGTAGAATAGCTAGTTCGTTTCCTAAAAACAGATTTCCCGTACTGTCGTAGCTAAGGGGAGAAACTGTCTGTAACTAGATTTAATGAATTTACACGTTTTTGACAGCATAACATGTTTTCTGTCTTTCTGACAGTTACAGTATAGTTATAATTCTCTTTACTAAAACTGGCCATTTAGACTTGGCGGAGGTTCAGTTTGTTTTACCTGAGTTACAGGCGCCGTCATAAACAAGTTTACACTCGCTTAGTTAGGTCAAATCTACTGGATGGAATCGGAACCACTTCTGACTGGAAGCATTAACTACGGCTCCCACCCTGACCACAATGATCACCTTGAAAAGGGATCCCCAAAGACGAGACGTCTGTCCTACTCGGTTGCAGCAGAGTCCTGCTGTGTCGAAGGGGGTAAGCGATTCAGTAGTTCACAATATTTGAAGCATAGCTTCATAACATATTATAACACGGTCATAACCATTTCATGTCATAACAGCTCACATAACTTGTCATAATCTGTCATATTTTCATAACACTGTCATGACATATATTTAGACCTGTTGTGACATATGACATATGATAAGGTCCTCTACCCTTTCGCCGAAGTATACGATCAGGACACTGATCACCCAGTCTCTTCTTGCCTGGACGGTGTTGCACTGACATGAGCAGCAATTAACGTGGTTGTATATGCTACAGTCAACCAACCAAATTAACCAAATTGTCACCAAATGTAATTATTGACTGTAATGTGACTGTATCATGAGCGCATACCCCGTAGCACTTCCAGGATGCTCTGCATCTCCTCCTTTGCAGCATCTCCTCTCATCTTGAACAAGGACAACAGTCTTGTAATGGTCCAGTTTCTCCATGAAGGTGGACTGAAGCGGGATGGTTGTAATCCTTCTGAATTCCTTCTCAATCTGTGAGAGAGACAGAGAGAGATTTGTGACTAATACTGTGATGAGTATCTCAGGTCAAGACAACAAAGAATAATGATGATCAATCATTACATTATTGGCAATTGTCATTCAACTGTAATTTTACGTGAGTCGGCTGAAACATGGCTTTGAGGTCACTCACAAGAAGTTAGACTCCAAGTTTGTTTATGGCAGCCTCCCTCAAGGTCTTCACCTCAACAATGGATGCAGATGCATGAGCTAGCTACTTTCTCTGAAAAATATAAGTAATGAACAGAAATCAGAATAGAGTATGCAACAATGCGGTAATACCGCTAAAGAAAGAAACACAAAAAGCTAAGACTACATACCAATAGCAAACACATTCACACATTCTCAAACACATCAAAATCCCCCTTTATCAACGTTTTCATAACATACAGTGAGGGAAAAAAGTATTTGATCCCCTGCTGATTTTGTACGTTTGTCCACTGACAAAGACATGATCAGTCTATAATTTTAATGGTAGGTTTATTTGAACAGTGAGAGACAGAATAACAACAAAAAAATCAAGAAAAACGCATGTCAAAAATGTTATAAATTGATTTGCATTTTAATGAGGGAAATAAGTATTTGACCCCTCTGCAAAACATGACTTAGTACTTGGTGGCAAAACCCTTGTTGGCAATCACAGAGGCCAGACGTTTCTTGAAGTTGGCCACCAGGTTTGCAGGGATTTTTTCCCACTCCTCTTTGCAGATCTTCTCCAAGTCATTAAGGTTTTGAGGCTGACGTTTGGCAACTCAAACCTTCAGCTCCCTCCACTTATTTTCTATGAGATTAAGGTCTGGAGACTGGCTAGGCCACTCCAGGACCTTAATGTGCTTCTTCTTGAGCCACTCCTTTGTTGCCTTGGCTGTGTGTTTTGGGTCATTGTCATGCTGGAATACCCATCCACGACCCATTTTCCATGCCCTGGCTGAAGGAAGGAGGTTCTCACCCAAAATTTGACAGTACATGGCCCCGTCCATCGTCCCTTTGATGCAGTGAAGTTGTCCTGTCCCCTTAGCAGAAAAACACCCCCAAATCATAATGTTTCCACCTCCATGTTTGACGGTGGGGATGGTGTTCTTGGGGTCATAGGCAGCATTCCTCCTCCTCCAAACATGGCGAGTTGAGTTGATGCCAAAGAACTCCATTTTGGTCTCATCTGACCACAACACTTTCACCCAGTTCTCCTCTGAATCATTCAGATGTTCATTGGCAAACTTCAGACGGGCCTGTATATGTGCTTTCTTGAGCAGGGGGACCTTGTGGGCGCTGCAGGATTTCAGTCCTTCACGGCGTAGTGTGTTACCAATTGTTTTCTTGGTGACTATGGTCCCAGCTGCCTTGAGATCATTGACAAGATCCTCCCCTGTAGTTCTGGGCTGATTCCTCACCGTTCTCATGATCATTGCAACTCCACGAGGTGAGATCTTGCATGGAGCCCCAGGCCGAGGGAGATTGACAGTTATTTTGTGTTTCTTCCATTTGCGAATAATCGCACCAACTGTTGTCACCTTCTCACCAAGCTGCTTGGCGATGGTCTTGTAGCCCATTCCAGCCTTGTGTAGGTCTACAATCTTGTCCCTGACATCCTTGGAGAGCTCTTTGGTCTTGGCCATGGTGGAGAGTTTGGAATCTGATTGATTGATTGCTTCTGTGGACAGGTGTCTTTTATACAGGTAACAAGCTGCGATTAGGAGCACTCCCTTTAAGAGTGTGCTCCTAATCTCAGCTCGTTACCTGTATAAAAGACACCTGGGAGCCAGAAATCTTTCTGATTGAGAGGGGGTCAAATACTTATTTCCCTCATTAAAATGCAAATCAATTTATAACATTTTTGACATGCGTTTTTCTGGATTTTTTTGTTGTTATTCTGTCTCTCACTGTTCAAATAAACCTACCATTAACATTATAGACGGATCATTTCTTTGTCAGTGGGTAAACGTACAAAATCAGCAGGGGATCAAATACTTTTTTCCCTCACTGTATAGCTAACGTTAGCTATGTTAGCTATCAACTATTCATGTAGCTAGCTAGCTACCTAGATAGCTAGTTAGTGTTTGTTAATCACTACAGATGGTGGTGTGCAAAACCACTAGCTAAATATTCACCCATGCATTGTAACGTACAGCTAACTCAGTGCCATTATCCCCGGAAGGTGAGGTATTGAAAACAGGGGTGTCAATCATTTTTGAGAAAAGAATTATTACTTGTTAAACAAAATATTTTTCTCTGAGCAATTGTATTAGTATAAAATAGTATAATTTCCCCATTTGTTGAGCATACAATATAGCTCAGTATTTAAATTATTTATTATATACAGTCATTTTTGCTCATTTTATCATTTTATCAAGGCCTTGACAAGGGTGTCAATAATTTCGGACCCCACTGTATACACTGTATATACAGTATATATATAATTTCATGACCTCTTGAATTTATGTCAAGTATGCCTTTTGAAGTAAAATATTATAAATTACATTTGACACATGGGTTCCAGACAAAGTACATTAAAAATAAAAATAAACTTGTTAAAGAACATACTACTGTCTGGAGGCCTATCACGTACCTACACCATATATCAGTCATAAGTCCTGCTCCTGCATTCATTCCAGTCATCAACAACAGAACACTGAGGTAGGCACAGGTTTTACATCAATGTGTGTGCAATTACCATGGTAATAAAATTGCCAATTTCAGGTAATGTTATAAAACATACTATTTACAAGTAGGCTATGCTGGAATGGAATGGTTTGCCTTGTTTGGTAGGTTTTGTGGGTTTTGACACTCTTATGTAGGTGTCATAACCAGCCATGAAACATTGCAATATATCTCAAAACACAAAATGAGGAAAAAAAAATCCAGAAAATCACATTGTAGGATTTTTAATGAATTTATTTGCAAATTATGGTGGAAAATAAGTATTTGGTCAATAACAAAAGTTTCTCAATACTTTGTTATATACCCTTTGTTGGCAATGACACCGGTCAAACGTTTTCTGTAAGTCTTCACAAGGTTTTCACACACTGTTGCTGGTATTTTGGCCCATTCCTCCATGCAGATCTCCTCTAGAGCAGTGATGTTTTGGTGCTGTCGCTGGGCAACACAGACTTTCAACTCCCTCCAAAGATTTTCTATGGGGTTGAGATCTGGAGACTGGCTAGGCCACTCCAGGACCTTGAAATGCTTCTTACGAAGCCACTCCTTCGTTGCCCGGGCGGTGTGTTTGGGATCATGGTCATGCTGAAAGACCCAGCCACGTTTCATCTTCAATGCCCTTGCTGATGGAAGGAGGTTTTCACTCAAAATCTCACGATACATGGCCCCATTCATTCTTTCCTTTACACGGATCAGTCGTCCTGGTCCCTTTGCAGAAAAACAGCCCCAAAGCATGATGTTTCCACCCCCATGCTTCACAGTAGGTATGGTGTTCTTTGGATGCAACTCAGCATTCTTTGTCCTCCAAACACGACGAGTTGAGTTTTTACCAAAAAGTTATATTTTGGTTTCATCTGACCATATGACATTCTCCCAATCCTCTTCTGGATCATCCAAATGCACTCTAGCAAACTTCAGACGGGCCTGGACATGTACTGGCTTAAGCAGGGGGACACGTCTGGCACTGCAGGATTTGAGTCCCTGGCGGCGTAGTGTGTTACTGATGGTAGGCTTTGTTACTTTGGTCCCAGCTCTCTGCAGGTCATTCACTAGGTCCCCCCGTGTGGTTCTGGGATTTTTGCTCACCGTTCTTGTGATCATTTTGACCTCACGAGGTGAGATCTTGCGTGGAGCCCCAGATCGAGTGAGATTATCAGTGGTCTTGTATGTCTTCCATTTCCTCTTGAATTTATGTCAAGTATGACCTTTGAAGTAAAATATTATAAATTACATTTGACACATGGGTTCCAGACAAAGTACATTAAAAATAAAAATAAACTTGTTAAAGAACATACTACTGTCTGGAGGCCTATCACGTACCTACACCATATATCAGTCATAAGTCACAAATGCTGTCCTGCTCCTGCATTCATTCCAGTCATCAACAACAGAACACTGAGGTAGGCACAGGTTTTACATCAATGTGTGTGCAATTACCATGGTAATAAAATTGCCAATTTCAGGTAATGTTATAAAACATACTATTTACAAGTAGGCTATGCTGGAATGGAATGGTTTGCCTTGTTTGGTAGGTTTTGTGGGTTTTGACACTCTTATGTAGGTGTCATAACCAGCCATGAAACATTGCAATATATCTCACAACACGTATACATATATGTGTCATGACAGTGTTATGACAGTGTTATGACAGGTTTTGACAAGTTATGCCAACTGTTATAACATGTTATGACATGGTTATGACCATGTTATAAGGTGTTATGACGCTATGCTTCAAGTAACGTGTTACCAATTGTTTTTAATGCCTCAAAACTCTATTTGAATGGTCCACGATGTGTTGATAAAAAATCTATAACATGCTTGGTGACAGTAGAAATCATTGACAGGAAGTTTTCTTTGGCAGCACATTGTGGACTGCTTTTGATAAAAAAGTTGCCCTGTCAGAGACAGCCATGATGATTGATGACACATAATGTGGTTGTAGTCAGCAGTGAGTCATCCAGTCTGGGCTACTAACAATTGCTCTATGGGCGGGACATGTTCTTTCAAAACATGGGGAGAAAATAATAGTCATCTGAAAAGGGAAACACTATCAAACATGAATGTGACCATGTATTATGACTGGAAAATGTACCTTTAAAAGTTAGACCAGTGGAGCGACATTGCAGAGGCAGTGGGATTCTGGGTAAACGGTTCAACTGTATGTTGAGAATTTGAATGAAGCCTATCATTCTTGTCATGCTATATGGAGGGAAACAATAAAATCCAATGATTTTAAACAATAAAGTCCCAAATCCTATGAATTGCCCTGAAACAGGTTGAAATGCCAAGCTCCACATTGTGTTATGTCCTGTTGAACAAGGATTGCCCTGCCCTAGATTACTCTACCCTTTTCAGACATCCCATTTTACTGATGATGTACAGTAGCTCTTCTTTACACCCCACACAAAGCTTTTGAAAGACAGTCATGTAATGAAATACACTACATGGCCAAAAGTATGTGGACATCTGCTCGTCGAACATCTTTCCAAAATCATAGGCATTAATTTGGAGTTGGTACCCCCTTTGCTGCTATAACAGCCTCCACTGTTCTGGGAAGGCTTTTCACTAGATGTTGGAACATTGCTGCAGGTACTTGCTTCCATTCAGCCACAAGAGCATTAGTGAGGTCGGGCACTGATGTTGGGCGATTAGGCCCGGCTCGCAGTCTGCATTCCAATTCTTCCCAAAGGTGTTCGATGGGGTTTAGGTCAGGGCTCTGTGCAGGCCAGTCAAGTTCTTCCACACCGATCTCGACAAACCATTTCTGTATGGACCTCGCTTTGTGCACGGGGGCATTGTCATGCTGAAACAGGAAAGGGCCTTCCCCAAACTGTTGCCACAAAGTTGGAAGCACAAAATTGTCTAGAATGTAATTGTATGCTGTAGTGTTAAGATTTCCCTTCACTGGAACTAAGGGGCCTAGCCCGAACCATGAAAAACAGCCCTAGACCATTATTCCTCCTCCACTAAACTTTACAGTTGGTACTATGCATTCGGGCAGGTAACGTTCTCCTGGCATCCGCCAAACCCAGATTCGTCCGTCGGACTGCCAGATGGTGAAGCGTGATTCATCACTCCAGAGAACGCGTTTCCAATGCTCCAGAGTCCAATGGCGGCGAGCTTTACACCACTCCAGCCGACGCTTGGCATTGCGCATAGTGATCTTAGGCTTGTGTGCAGCTGCTCGGCCATGGAAACCCATTTCATGAAGCTCCCGACCAACAGTTCTTGTGCTGACGTTGCTTCCATAGGCAGTTTGGAAGTCGGTAGTGAGTGTTGCAACCGAGGACAGACCATTTTTACGCACTACACGCTTCAGCACTCAGAGGTCCCGTTCTGTGAGCTTGTGTGGCCTACCACTTCGCGGCTGAGCCGTTGTTGCTCCTAGACATTTCCACTTCATAATAACACCACTTACAGTTGACCGGGGCTGCTCTAGCAGGGCAGAAATTTGAAGAACTGACTTGTTGGAAAGGTGACATCCTATGACGGTGCCATGTTAAAAGTCACTGAGCTCTTTAGTACGGGCCATTCTACTGCCAATGTTTGTCTATGAAGATTGCATGGCTGTGTGCTCTATTTTATACACCTGTCAGCAACGAGTGTGGCTGAAATAGCCGAATCCACAAATTTGAAGGGGTGTCCACATACTTTTATAGCGTAGGTTAGATGGGGTCAAAGACAAATCCAGGACATGATATGGCTTATTGACACAGACCAGAATAGCTGTATGAATTGGATTCATTGTTGTAGGCCCAAACTGAAAATAATAATTTAGTTGAAGTGACAGTCCAGTCCATTAAGTGAAAGAGGGTTCAGTTGACATTTAGATGTCTGATCAGCTCTGTGGAAAAATGCCTGCAATCCGTATCTAATTTAATCTGACCTGGCGAGCGATGCTTGGAGCACACTATTCATCCAGACTTGGTTATAATTCGATTGGAATATTTGAAAGACTAAGATGAATTCAGACGTGCTAATGTTGAACTTTACTACATACACATGCACACAGGCCTACAGTAGGATTAGGATATGGGCTCAGACTTTGACCTCTGTGGAAATGACTGTACTGTTTTTGTTATAGAATCAGTGGCCACTGAGAAAAGGTGAGCATGAGATACAAGGTTTTGGTTTTTGGTTGTGGTTTATTAATCTGCTTGAGAAAAACTACAGATAGGTAGATAGGTTTGTTTTCAATCTTTTGTTTTCAATCAATACAAATTATGACTTTATTTGTTTGAGAAAAGCTATTGATAGGCACTGTTTGTTTTTTACAGTTTTTACAGTATTTTCCTCTCCTCCTACACAGTTGATGAGGATCTCTACCTCCAGCAAGCTGTTGTGTTTATTGAGGACGCCATACAGGTGAAACATATATTCTTTGTATGAACTGTCACTGTAACTGATTGAAATACATTCTTTGTATGAACTGTCCCTAAACTGGGACCCGTGTAGCTCAGTTGGTAGAGCATGGCGCTTGCACCGCCAGGGTTGTGGGTTTGATTCCCATGGGGGGCCAGTATAAAAAAAGATTAAAAAAAAAAAAAATGGTATGCACTCACTAACTGTAAGTTGCTCTGGATAAGAGCGTCTGCTAAATGACTAAAATGTAAAACAATGAAATGTGTTTCTTCTTCTACAGTACCGATCCATCAATCATAGGGTGGATGCAATCTCATTACGTCTGTACAGGTGGTACTTCTCCAGGATATGGCAATGGTAAGCTGCTACTGTCATGATGAGTCAAATAATATTGTTCTGCATGTTTATATTCTTATATTTGTCCTATCCTCTAAAGTCAGTCATTAAATCCCTCTGCACTGCGTCTCACTGCAATGTGTGACCACACTCAGTATTGTCATCAGCATTGCCATGACTTAACTCTGTCCTGTCTTAACTTCCTCTGTGGTTAAGTGTAGTGAGAAGAGCACTTTATGAAGGTGAAGCCAACCATCACCCTTCCTGTTCTCAGTTTGAAACCCACTCAGGGGTTTTGTGTCATTGTTAAATGACTGTCTGTGTTGCTCAGGGGGCTGGGCCTGACTATTGCGGTCGTCTTGATTCTGGCTTTCATCGAGAGGCCCTCATCCCTCTCCTACACATCAGACCCTCGCTTCAGACCTCCCCCCTGGGAGCCCCCTTGTGGCCTGACAGAGGGCATAGAGATAGTCTGCCTCATCATCTTTGCCATTGACCTCGCTACCAAGGTAACCATCAGACCATGTTTCTGCCAATGTCAACGGTGAAGAGATACAGTAGATGGGCAACAAGAAATCTCAAAGTACATGAAAATCCATTTTCTATCTTTATTTGCAATAACATATATATGGCTCTAACTTAATCTATTGTTCTTAGAGCTATTTGATTGGTTGGGAGGAGTTCCGGAAATGCAAGTGGTTGGTTGTCTACATCATGGTCATCTCAGCATCTGTAATTGATTGGACATTGACGTTGAGCATGTATTGTGAACAGGTGAGATCATATTCAAAATGTTAGTTTATACATCCTGTGTAATATGTCTCTTAACAGTTCATAAAGACATGGTTTACAATACAAAGATTCAAATGGAATGTTGCTCTTTCCCTTTGTTGTCAATGGCAGAACTTACGAGTTAGGAGACTCATTCGGCCATTCTTCCTCCTTCAAAACTCCTCCCTGATGAAGAAAACATTAAAGTGCATCAAGAGGACCCTCCCAGAGATAGCCAGGTAATTGTGTTTACCACCAACACTTTATTAAATCTCATATAACCTCCCGAGTGGCGCAGTGGTCTAAGGCCACTAGAGCCTTAGACCACTGCGCCACTAGAGATCCTGGTTCGAAACCAGGCTCTGCTGTAGCCGGCCGCAACCGGGAGACCAATGGGGCGGCGCACAATTGGCCCAGGGTAGGGGAGGGAATGGCCGGCAGGGAGGTAGCTCAGTTGGTAGAGCATGGCGTTTGCAACGCCAGGGTTGTGGGTTCGATTCCCACGGGGGGCCAGTATGAAAATAAAAAAGAATAATGTATGCACTAACTGTAAGTCGCTCTGGATAAGAGCGTCTGCTAAATGATGTAAAATTTAAATATCTTCGCTTTACAATTATTGTCAACCTCAAAATACTCTCACTTCTGTGTTTCACATACGTAATTCCCTAAAACTGCACTATAGGGTATATTTAGGGTTATATACTGATACATGATTCACTCTTGTTTTAGTACAGATGGCACCCTAATATACTTGTATACGTATATAGGCCTGACTGTCATTGCAGAGGTGTGTCTAATGCACCTCTCCTCTCTCTCTTGCCTCCCAGTGTTATCCTGCTCCTGGCTCTCCATCTCTGCCTCTTCACCATGATTGGCATGCTGCTCTTTGCTAAAGGAGAGGTACGCCCTGTTACACCCCGCTGGCTGTACCGTTGACGCCCAGTTCTCAAGCCTGAACATGCCCTTTTACCTTACCTCACTACTGTTTTATCCACCCGGTGGTACAGGCTTTAACAGAGCTTTAACACCAACCAGTGGTAGATGTGTAGTATTACACCTACCTGAATAGAGACCTGAACAGAAACTCACCCCAACATGACCAGGATAAAGCACAATGTGTGTCCATTTAACATTGTTATTATAAGGGAGTTAAATATCTCCATATTACTTATGTTTTGTCCCTAGAACCCAAAGCACAATGGGGAGTGGGAGGCCTACTTCAGAGACTTGCCCACGTCTCTCTCCTCTCTCTTGGTGCTCCTTACTACAGCCAATAACCCTGATGGTAAGTTCACTGTGTTGTTCATAGTGAATGAAACATATATTTTCTGCTGCATACTATACAGTTGTCTCCTCCACCTAAACCTGTCTTTGTGTTTTTAACAGTGATGATTCCTGCCTATTCCTTAAACCGAGGATACTCCATCTTCTTCATTATGTTTAGTGGTTTTGGTAAGAACTAGCCACCAAACTGTTAAGAGACAAGGAAAATATGAAACGGTTGGAGTGGTAACACAGTCTGTTGTTAATTGGTCTTATTTACTGCTTCCAGGAACCTACTTCTTGATGAACTTACTAACTGCCATCATTTACAACCAGTTCAGGGGATACCTGCTGGTGAGTTTAAGACTGCCACTGGATTGATATGATTAAATATCAGAGCATTTAAAGGTACAGTGTAAACCCCATAGAATATAATAAAGAAACTGTTCTCTTGTGGCAGATGTCTGTCCAGGCGTCCATCCTAAGGAGGAGACTGGGCATCAGAGCTGCCTTCGAGGTCATGTCCTGCCAGGGGCGGGGTCAGGATGCTACACACTCAGAGGAGCATGTGTAAGACTGCTCATTCTCTTATACTTAGCCCTACACACACAAAGACACACACACAAAGACACACACACACACTGAATGGCCTTACATCTTGTCCCTCGCAGAGAGCGTGTGCGGGTGGATGCATCTTTGCAGGTCATGGCGAGGGTACAAATGAAGTCATACTACAGACAAGCCATCATCAAGGTGAGAAAAGACTACAGTGGAAATCTTTAGAACATGTGGATAAACTTTTGAATGTGACTTCCTTTGAATGTGCGTGTTTCCCCGTCTCTCTCTCTCTCTCTCACTCTCTCTCTCTTTTTTCCCCACTCTCTCTCATTTTCTCCTCTCCCACGGGTCAACCTGTAGAGAGTGCAGCAGTTGTCAGATGGCTTCATCCAGTGGGAGGCCTTCCGGAGGCTGTTTGATGAGCTGGACAAGGACCGCATCAAAGAGGTGGGGCCACATCTAAAGAACTGCTCTGTGCATCTCCACTGTGGATCAATGTTACTGTTTTGGGTTAACTTCAACGTTGGTTCTAAACTGTCTTATTTGACTTGTCTAAATGATAGCTAGATTGATCTTGTATGATTTGATGAGTCTTCATTGTCTTTCTCCTGCAGCATCCTCCAAAGCCAGAGTACAACTCCCCACTCCTCCAGAGGCTTCAGGTGGTTTTCAGCCACTACTATGTTATGATAGTGGGCAACGGCGTAGCCCTGGCCAATGTCATGTGCATCTGTGTAAGTCCAAGACATTCTTACATATGTCGTGCCTGTTGTTTGTGCGTCCCAGCATATTAGACTCAACTTGTTTGGTCTCTCTGTTTCTCTCTGTGTGTTGCAGACCATACTGGTGCTTAACTCCGAGAAGTCCATTGCAGAGCGGGATGACTACTACTTGGAAGTTATTAACTGTTTCTTTATTCTATACTACCTGATGGAGATGAGTCTAAAGATATTAGCATTTGGATGGAGAGGCTACCTGTCATACAGAAACAACATCTTTGATGGACTTCTCACAGTTTGCCTTCTGGTAAGATATTCTGTAAATGAAAGGAAACATATTAAAGGTGCAATATGTAGAAATCACTCCACCATTTCAATGCTTTCGCCTAATTTCAGTTTATGTGACAAATCAAACAATGTATAGTGTGTAGAGAATCATTGTACAATCTAAACCGCTGTGAAATATATTTTCAATAACCTAAAGTATTGTATTTTCAGCTGTTTGAAGCTGGAGTACAAAACTGAAAGAAAAAAGACACTAAAACGTAACTTAAGAACGGGGAGCATAGAAAAAGTGCACATAGAATGGATCGACTTGCTTTCAATGAGAATGACAGATCTATAACTCACATTTCTATGTGAATGTGGCCGGGTCGCCCAAAAAGCTACGTACTGCCCCTTTAAGCGTATTTCTGTCTTGGTAATATAACTCAAAGTATTTATCTTCTTTTTTTTTTTTAACAGGTCCTTCAGATCACCATTTTTGCCACCTACAGGCTTCCATTTCCTAAATGGTTGGTCTCTTCACTTCGGTCATATTTCTCGCTCAACAAATACATTCTGTATAAGGAAATTGTCCTAAAGGATGGGGCTCATTATATATACAGTAACAATAGTGATAAAAAAGTAACTTTGTTTACACACACACACAGGTACATGGGGATGGTCTAAAACAGGAATCGAAACATGGAAATGAAGATATGGTACATAGTGATACACATGATAAACATAGCAGAGGAAGAGTGTTACTGAATAGAACACTATGAACCGATGAATGGTAATAGATAAGTTACTAACTAAGTAACACTGTAAGATTGAATAAACCTTTGTGTTGTGTGGTTGTCCCAGGAACCCAGCGTCGCGTGGTCTGATGTCTCTGTGGGAGATGGTGCGTCTGGTCAACATGCTCATCGTCGTCCGCTTCCTCCGTATCATCCCTGATATCAAGGTGAGGAGTGGTAGTAGGAGTGCCATCGTTGTCAATGTACAGTATGTGACGAGACCATTGTATATGTTGTATTTGCCTCCACCTAGTGGTGGAAATGGTTTATTGCTTGACTTTTGCTCTATTTTGGTGTACCGGTATGTCAATAGATTTGTATTGTTGTAAAGTCCTCCTGGTACAGCCAATGTCTCTATCATCTCTGGTTATGCATGTTGGTATTATCATATAGAAATAGTCATCCTTGTGTTTTTATGCCTCTTTTAGCTGATGGCACTTGTAGCGAGTACTTTGGTTGACCTGGTGAAAAACCTCCGAGCTTTTGCAGGAATACTAGTGGTGAGTGACTCAATTACACTTATTTTTTTCTCTTTTGTTCTCTCACCCAACTAGTCATTTTAAATGCATCTCTATACACTAGGCATCTGTTTGCTGGACATCATGAGTGCCCTATCACAGCTAACAGCTATCTGTGTTTTATGCCTCTTTGTTCTTTAGGTGGTGTTCTATGTGTTTGCTGTCCTTGGCATCTGGCTGTTCCAGGGAGCCATCACAGCTCCAGGGCAGATTAGGTACAGTTTGACACAATTATATTTTTGAAAGCTTGTACCCTATTCACAAACCTCAAAGTAGCAATGGCCTCCTACAGTAGCTAATAAAATAAAATAAAATAAAATTGTATTGGCCACATGCGCCGAATACAACAGGTGTAGAAATTACAGTGAAATGCTTACTTACAGCCCTTAACCAACAATGCATTTATTTTTTAATAAAAAAAGTAAAATAAAACAACAACAAAAAAGTGTTGAGAAAAAAAGAGCAGAAGTAATATAAAATAACAGTAGGGAGGCTATATATACAGGGGGGTACCGGTGCAGAGTCAATGTGCAGGGGCACCGGCTAGTTGAGGTAGTAATTAACAGAGTAGCAGCAGCGTAAAAAGATGGGGTACCGCTTGCCGTGCGGTAGCAGAGAGAACAGTCTATGACTAGGGTGGCTGGAGTCTTTGACAATTTTGAGGGCCTTCTGACACCGCCTGGTATAGAGGTCCTGGATGGCAGGAAGCTCCTTTGTCTTGGTCACGTTGAGGGAGAGGTTGTTATCCTGGCACCACACGGCCAGGTCTCTGACTTCCTCCCTATAGGCTGTCTCATCGTTGTCGGTGATCAGGCCTACCACTGTTGTGTCGTCGGCAAACTTAATGATGGTGTTGGAATCGTGCCTGGCCATGCAGTCATGGGTGAACAGGGACTACAGGAGGGGACTGAGCACGCACCCCTGAGGGGCCCCCATGTTGAGGATCAGTGTGGCAGATGTGTTGTTACCTACCCTTACCACCTGGGGGCGGCCCGTCAGGAAGTCCAGGATCCAGTTGCAGAGGGAGGTGTTTAGTCCCAGGATCCTTAGCTTAGTGATGAGCTTTGAGGGCACTATGGTGTTGAATGCTGAGCTATAGTCAATGAATAGCATTCTCACGTAGGTGTTCCTCTTGTCCAGGTGGGAAAGGGCAGTGTGGAGTGCAATAGAGATTGAATCATCTGTGGATCTTTTGGGGCGGTATGCAAATTGGAGTGGGTCTAGGGTTTCTGGGATAATGGTGTTGATGTGAGCCATGACCAGCCTTTCAAAGCACTTCATGGCTACAGACGTCAGTGCTATGGGTCGGTAGTCATTTAGGCAGGTTATCTTAGTGTCCTTGGGCACGGGGACTATGGTGGTCTGCTTGAAACATGTTGGTATTACAGACTCAGTCAGGGACATGTTGAAAATGTCAGTGAAGACACTTGCCAGTTGGTCAGCACATGCTCGGAGTACACGTCCTGGTAATCAGTCTGGCCCTGCGGCCTTGTGAATGTTGACCTGCTTAAAAGTCTTACTCACATTGGCTACGGAGAGCGTGATCACATAGTCATCCGGAACAGCTGGTGCTCTCATGCATGCTTCAGTGTTGCTTGCCTCGAAGCGAGCATAGAAGCGGTTTAGCTCGTCTGGAAGTCTTGTGTCACTGGGCAGCTCGCGGCTGTGCTTCCCTTTGTAGTCTGTAAAAGTTTTCAAGCCCTGCCACATCCGACGAGCGTCAGAGCCGGTGTAGTACGATTCAATCTTAGTCCTGTATTGACTCTTTGCCAGTTTGATGGTTCGTCGGAGGGCATAGCGGGATTTCTTATAAGCGTCCAGCTAATATGGCTGTTTTAATGTGTTTATTGTGTAGGGTAATTGAAGTTGTTTTGTATGCATTCCTCTACAGTGTGATCTCCAATTCCAGTATGGAGAACATCACCTTTAACTTCACCATGGAGTGTGGTTCCTACGAGCAGCTGGGCTACTGGCCAAACAACTTTGACGACTTTGCTGTGGGTACCCTTCTCTTGTCTCTCACTCTGCCAGCCTGTGAAGCAGAATCATAGGCAGAGAACACAGGGGAGGCTTAGCTCAAGGCGAACATTCTGACTTTAACGATAGCATTCTCTGCATAGCCCTGTCTACTGTTGTAAGAGACTGGTTTAATGAGAATAGGCTTTGGAGGGAATGAAACTGTAAAACACATGCTTGGAATTCTATCTGTGACTCATCTGTACTGGCTCTGACTGGGAAGGCTAGTGTTGTGGGGGTAACCTCTCAAAGGGATAATGCACTGAAGTAACTTTTAAAAGACACCCATAAAATACCATGGTGGGTATGTTGACATTTGAGTCCTGATCAATCAAATGAGTCTTTCAATTGTGTCTAAATGTTGAGAGAGTGTGGACACGAATCTGTGATTTATTTTCTCTTCTCTCCTTCTGTTTTGCTCAGTCTTCCCTTGTCCTCCTTTACAACATCATGGTGGTGAATAACTGGCAAGTCTTCATGGATGCCTACACCAGATACACCACAGAGTAAGCCAACAATAATACAAAACGATACAGGAGTCTTATGATCCAACTGTCAGACCTTCGTTTCCCTATCCACTAGAGGGCAGCAGTTGACGCTGAAGCACATCAGTCCTTTTCATTTTGGGCCATGCCTTACTTTAATGAGCTCCCACTTCATAATATTTATCTAATTTCAGTTGTTCCCTAAAAAATTGCAACTGTTTGGTTGGTTAAACAAGTTTTTGTACCCAACTCAGGAACAAGGCTAGTAACAGTGAAAATACATGTAGGAGTGGGGCCATAGTTCACATTCATTATTTGTCCTGCTTAAAGAGCATGAAGACAAGTTAATTGTGCATGGGGCTCATTTAGTAAAACAGTGATTATGGGTATGGTGATGTGTCCATGTAAACAGTTGATCAAGTTTCTTCTCTCCTCCCAGGTGGTCCAAGGTCTACTTTGTCTCCTGGTGGCTTACCTCCTCTGTCATGTGGGTCAACTTGTTTGTGGCTCTCATCTTGGAGGTATGTATCAACTTATGGTGGCCTGATTTGTACTTACTGTATTTTAAGTGCAAGATGTTTCTGAAAAATTTTTAAACTCAATGATAACCCTGTTTTCTGTAAAAGAACTTCATCTATAAGTGGGACCGGAGTGTCACGTGTTCAGTGGCGGACGTTGAGCGAACGGGCTACGAGACCACCGTCCAGCTCATGTTCAGGTAGGTTGCTTTTTAACTGGCTCTGGCTTTTTGCTTCTGTTGATTGTCTGGGCGGTTGCATATTCATACTACTTGGTGTTGGTTTTAGGCCTAGAGGTCAGTCACAAACTGGGATGCCGTCACTGTTAGCGGTTTTGTCAGTTCTCTGTGAACGCAGTCAAATATTTTGGCTGTACGTCATTTATCATCAAAAGGCACTGCCTAAAACCATGCTCTTTGGACACTCACATTTCAATACTGTATAACTTCTCCCAAAAATCTTCGGGAATGCTTTTGTCTGGACAATGTTTCTGGTGAGCTTTCTGATAACAAACCCTAAAAGGGCATGTATTTCTTCATAACATAGCTTGCATATAATGCATTATATCATTTAGGGCTGGGAATTGCCAAGGGACCTCACAATACGATATTATCACAATACTTAGGTGCTTGGAGTCAAAGTATCAATATAATATAGAATAAAAATAATATTGTGATATATAACTATCAATTTTTTCCCCCATCACTAATGTAATTGGTAGCAAAAACATCCTGCCACCTTTTTAACCACTCAATCAACGAAACGCATGTCGCTGAAATATTTGCTGAAGGTGTGGTTGATATGTTTGGCAGGGACCAACCCTTAATGCCCATCCCTAAATGCACATTGTGGACTATAGCAGCCGCCTGCATGAGCGTACTTCTCTTCAACTCATTGTGTGTCTCTTGACACAGTTTCTTGTCCTGTCTTTAAAACTCCACTGTACCTTCCAGAGAACACATTCAGGAGCCTACAGAGGAGGAGCTGGTCACCCAACTCCATCAGCACCCTCACCTGCATCTCAGCTGAAGACCCTACACCCCTCACACACCATTGGACCCTACGTCCAACCAGGCTTGTACCAATCCAAAATAAACAGGGCCTTTACTGGCCTATCACGTTTGTCTGTGTGAATGGCAGGGACTCAAAAGCAGAAAAGTGACAATATTGTTAGGGTTCTCTCAATTCTGATTAGTCCTATGTTGTCACATTTTGGATGTTTTTGCACTCAAACCACTGAACAACTGCCTCACTCCCTGCATCTGTTACTTTAAAACTGAGATTGAAAGATTGAGTTGCTAAGCGTTTTGTTCATGTTAAATCTGTTATCACTTTCGTTTGATGGCAGTCACTATATGCCATCAAACAAAACAAAATACACCACTGTTCTTAATGAATTTATTTAATAGGGAGTAAAAAGGGAAAAGGACTAGTTTTTATTCGTATATTTGTCATGAATGCTGTTTCTTTTGCTTACCTGCCTTGCAATGTAAATAGGATTTTTATGCAAATAAAGAAATATGGGTTTTATCTCAGTGACTGTTATATCAATTATGAAATATGTGTTTAGAATGGCTGGAAATGATTCTCTCAGATGTGTAAAACACATTTTACACATGGCCTGCCCTTGTTTTTTTTTTGCATTGGGTCAATTCTCTCTTGGATAGCTACAGCTACAATTTCATCTTGAAGTTACATAATTACCTGACTGTTGCAATCAGTTGGAAGGTGTCAGCATTGTGTGTTTTCTGAGAGCCTTGGGTGTTCCAGTCATAACCACCAACTGATATCTCCCTCCTCCACACTCATCAGGTCAGGCTAGTTAGTGATAAGCATGAATGAAGATTCCTGCTGATGCATCCTGGTGATGGTCATTTCAGATAAGGGCTCTTAGCTCTCCCCGGGGCATGCAAGTCTTGACTGAGGAATCCTGCTCACACTGCGGAATGGCATGGTATCGAATGGAATGGAGAACTGTTATTCTACCTGGAGGGCAGTGGGAGAAACATGTGTTTTTGAGAATAGTATAAATTGTATGTTTTACAACGTCATAATAAAATGCAATCAGAAAGATAATTACGGTGATCAAGGCATGGCACCATTCTAGACATTGCCCCTGGGGGTTTGTTCTGTGGTCCTATGCTAATAGTGTACACACACACACACTGGTGTTGACACTCCACACCCCCACACACTCAAGCATTATGTTTACTGGAAACAGATGAGGGCAAACAAGCCAACCTCCAGAGGGCCTGACATCAAAGCTCTGACCTCCTCCTCTCCTCCCACTATTTGTTTGCTTTTCCTCTTGGGGAGTTTGGGCTCGTGCAAGGCCTTACCACAAACCCTGTCCACAACCACATAAGAATGTAGGGACATGTCTGGTTAAAAGCCCATTGCATGACAATATGACAGACTATTGAGATATGATGTAGGCTAGCTAGCCTGTGAAGGGCTATCTGGATGCTTCTATTTGAGTCTTTTCAGATTAGTTATTTCTAGATTGTAGAACAGGGATGGGCAACTGGCGGCCCCCGCTTTTGTAGGCCTGCGGACCAATTCGATTTATTTTTTTATTTTTTTATTTGGGGGGGAACTCAGTCGGGGTCTCAGCTTACTGTTGAGAGTTAGAATAATAGAATATACAAGGTGCAATTTCTAAATTTGGTTGTGCATCAACAGTCACTCAATTAGCCCATGACATGTTTTTTTTTATTGGTAAGTTAGTCTAGTGTCCAACTATTTAAACTTGTAGCATGGTCGAATTACCAACCAGCGTGGGGCCCATTAATCATCAGTTATCATATTAAAACCTGCAAACATTTGGCTCCACCCTATGGCAAAATGTGTAGAATTGGATGAAATTATCTGTAAAACTGGTACTTTTTTTTCTCCGCCCCATGGCAAAATTTGTAGAATTGCATGAAATTAGTTATAAAACGAAAACATTTTCTTTACGCCCCATGGCAAGATGTGCAGAATTGCAGGAAATGAACTTTAAAAATTAAAACATGTCAGCCATGTTCTATCTAGAGCCCACCACTGCAGTGAAGGCAGAGCCAGAGGCATCCCAGACGAGGCATGATTGGCGATAATTAGAAGCAGGTGGTTAATGAGTCCGGCAGACTAATGAACACCACACATTCCTGTTTACCCAGCTTGATGAGGACAGATGAGGTCAACAGAGCCTGGCTGCCTGGAATACCACGACTAGCAGGAGGGATAGGCCTAGGGGATGTGTGCTGGAGTAGTGGTTCCTAGACTTTTTTACTCAGGCCCCCTTTCCAGCATCAGGGAACATCCCGAGCCCCCCCCCCCCGCTCACTTTATATGGGCACAAGCACTGTTCATGACACAAACTGTTCACACTCCTCTTGTTGGTGGAGAGAAAATGTTGCAGGTTAAAGCTTATTTCCTGCAATTCTACAAATTTTGTCACGGTGTGCGGTGCAGAGAACATTTTGCAGTTTTAAAGTTAATTTCCTAGAATTCTCCACATTTTCCTATGTCTTATGTGTTCATGTGATATTTGAGTGACTCAAACATGACAACAAAATCAATGGCCTAAAAAACCTAAGTAAAAAATGTTAGCTGACATGGACTAATTGATCTGTACATTTCTGAAAAGTTATAAATATGCCAGTCATTGCCGAACATAGAGAGCTATTTATAAATAGCTCTCTATGTTCGGCAATGACTGGCATAACGAGGAAAGCTGATGATGCACTACCCAATTTCGAAATTGCACCCTGGGCATTCTACTATTACAACGTTCAGGGGTAAATTGAAAGCCGGATTGAGTTTCTTCAAAATCCAACAAAATCATGCCCTTCACAGGCTAGCTGTGGGGCCACAGTTTGGGAACCACTGTGCTAGAGGAATGCAGGCTGGGCAGATGTATGTATGTGGTGATGTAGACTCTAGACATGCCATCCTCCTGCTCAAACGTGGATACGGGACAATGGTTGTTGTAGTTACATTGACCACAGTCAGTTGTATTGTAATGACTGTGGTGGTTTTAATAGTCATTACATCCCCTAGGAACCTACTATATCACTGCAGTCTGTTTCTTTACCAGACCATAGTTTGTTTACCCGGTTGTTCGTTCAGTCACTGGGTTTGCTTCTGCTACCTCAGTGTTTGGTCAGCCTCACTTCTCACTAGACGCTCAGTTTCATCAACGTCTAGGCCAGTGTTTCCCAAACTCCTGGGGACCCAAAGGTTTTTGGTTTTGCCCAAGCACCACAGAGCTGATTCAAATGTAAAGCTTGATGATGAGTTGATTATTGGAATCAGGTGTGTAGTGCTAGGGCAAAAACCAAAATGTGCACCCCTTGCGGTCCCCAGGACCGAGTTTGTGAAATGCTAGTCTCTAGGTCTACATGTACACCAAACAGCATGAGGAATCAGGGTTACAGTAATTGGTTGAATGAGTCAAGTGTCTCTATCTGATCTCCAGCTGTCAGTGCCTCCATCCCCCCACACACATTCCCTGCAGAAGATGTTCATGGGAAGCTAGCTCTCTGTGTTACCTGCCAAGCTGAATGATGTCATAGCCTGGCAAGCTTTTGCTCTGTGTGCTGGAATACCAGTGATGAGAGATGTCAGTTCTCCAAGCATGTGAAGAATGCAGCTGCTGACAGGGGAGGTGACCCAACAGGGTTATTACATTTACATTTTAGTCATTTGGCAAACGCTCTTATCCAGAGCGACTTACAGTTAGTGCATAACATTTTTTTCATACTGGCCCCCCGTGGGAATCGAACCCACAACCCTGGCGTTGCAAATGCCATGCTCTACCAACTGAGCTACACGGGACTACGGTTATCTATCTATCTATCTCTCTCTCTCTTTACTAAAGAGGATATTGGAAATAAAGTGAGGCATTCACATGCAGTGACGAATAGAGACTGGTTGGCCTTGCCTCCTACTGCTTGAAGGTGTTGTTTGTTGCTCACTGTGGGTTTTGGTTGATCTTTCCCTGTGTTTGTGTTATTCCCTGTGTGAAGCAGTTGGCAGGACTACCAGCGCTAGTTACAGCACGTGGGACTGACCTCTGGTAAACCCTTTTTGTTTCTGGAGTAGCAGAAAATATCATAATTCTTCTGAACCTGTATTTCCCTGCTAGTAACCTCATTATGGCGGCCGTCAGTCCTTCCAGAATGTTTCTGATAACATCTTGTCATTCTCACTGCTCTGAAAGAGTTCTCACTGATTACTGAGGGGAGTTTCTTTCCATGATCCCTCTTTTCTCTCTCTCATTCTGTAAAAAGGGATTTACTGCCCTTTTTGTTCCTGATCAATATGCTTCACCTGATCATTCAGATGGTTTGACTGTGTCTCAAGGTTTTTCTTATTTGGGTGAATAGGCCTAATACCAACATATCAGCTATTGAAAATCCAATTGTCCCTCTATTGAATCTCAAGCTGTCACCCTTAGAAGTAGTGTGGCATCTAGAAAGTTGAAGAATAAAAACAAAAAGATTCCATTTGCCATCCAGCTGCTGATTGTGGATCATCTTTCACGTCCTAAGTCCCACCACCATAGTTAATAGAAGAGGAGCGAGGAAGCTGATCCAGGAGCAACTGTCGGGGGGCAGGTTTAGTCAACACCTACTTCTCCAGCCTTCCCTGTTCACCTGAAGGCTTAGCTAACTTGCCTCTATAAGCTCTAATGATACCTGTTGGCCTCGGCCCACTCTCTCACCCCTTTCACCAAATGCGGGAGGCCTGCTTTTACAGCACCTTTTGAAGCTGCCGCACCTGGGTGCGATCTTACATTTCGCTCAGGGAAAACGTGGATTTATATAATTAAAGGGCTGGATTGGGCTGGACAAAAGAACCTTGCAACTCCACAGGTCTTTATGGTGAGGTATTGGGCCGTTCTCACCCTCTGTGAAGCCACTGGGAGAGAATAGAAGGAGATGTCCCTACGCCCACACCACCATACAGCCTTTACCCTTTACTCTGAGACCAGGCCACCCATATCTGGACACACAGGGAGAGGTATGACCTACACCACATATCACCTCCCCTTCACCTCTTCACAACTCCGTCACCACATCTTCCAGGTCCTATCTGAGGTCTCCCTGACTGTAATTACTCAGCCGCCCACCAAACGGACCGGCCGACCTGGCCCCTTTCTTCTGTTCAATGGCAGCCTGCCTGCCCTGCCCTCCTCTGAGTGGGAGCAGATGCACCTGTCAGTCAGGCCCTACCCAGCTCCTTTCTCTGCCTGGTAGAGAGGCGGAGCAGGGGCTGGTGCCCACTCAGGTGAGCGGGGCCGTTGATCTGGGGCACGGTGCACCCTGGCAGCCTCCTCCAACACCTGCCAGCCAGGTGCCACTTTATCGCCTCGCTACCCCCTCCCTCTCGCCTCTGTTTGTCCGGTTTTACTCCCCATGCAGGATAAGAAGGGCTGTAAACAATAAGGGAGAAAGAGAGGGGAAAAGTTCAGGAAATTCCACTTTCAGCTTGTCTCACGCCCAGCCCATCTTTAGCAAGCAGCAGCTGGTTCTCTCTCACCCACTTTCTCTCTCTCTCTCTCTCTCTCTCTCTCTCTCTCTCTCTCTCTCTCTCTCTCTCTCTGTCTCTCTCTCTCTCTCTCTGTCTCTCTCTCGCTCCCACTCTGGGTGTGTGAGGGAGAGACAGAAGTGCATTGCTTTGATCAATACTCCAAATTGCGTAACACCATAAGAAGCATTTTAGTTGAAATTACTAAGCATTCGCTACAGATATTGTATTGAAGTGCCCTTTTCAGTGATTAAATACTCAGTCAAAAACCCACAAGAATACTTTCATCAAGTTTCTTCCCCACTTTATGGCAGAGCACACTTCAGAAAAACGAGATGCTGTTCAATGCACTGTTGGTTGCTCTGCCAGCCTAATGACATTAAAAGAGATTTCTGCAAACACCCCTCTCTGTGTCTGGCACTGTAACTCTCCAGTAATAAATTAACTTGTGGCCAAAGTGTGGAATGCATTCTTCAGCAGCGGAAGCAATCAGTCTGCCCATACTGGCCTTTCTCTCCCGCTCAATAGAGAGCAGGCTCATTTGCATACAGGTGAGAAGAAGAAAGGTCTTTAGAGAGGGAATAGGGACGACGAGGCCGATGATTGTAGAGTAAGAAGCAAAGGTGTTTTTTCTGGGGACCGAATGAGGGGGATTTTCCCCCAGAAAGGTTTAGGTCAACATTGGCATGTAGACAGAAGCCTGCAGCTGTCCTCTGGGCTCTGTCTGTAGGAGGCAAGGCAGCCATTAGTCTCTGTCAGAGCAGAGCTGCTCTGGGAAACTTCCATACTTAATTAGAGGGATCCCACCGCTAGAGGGCAGTAGTTGCTTCCTAGATGCAACAAGTCCTAGATGCAACAGGTGGTGAATTCTATGAGACTATCTTACCCCCACTTGTTCTATGAAGAGAAAACAAAAGGCTTGTGGTTTATGGGAGTTTTCAAGACCTAGGCCTACAGTGTTTCCAGTTTTATCAGGCATGGTGTTCAAACATGAACATGAAAAAAGTCCAGTTCCCTGTTATTGGACATAGCTGGCTGTTTAGTCATGCTGTTTGATGGAGCCTGATTAAATAGAAGGACTACTCTGCATTGCTATGATAATGATGAGGTTATCATATGATGTCCATTATGGCCCAGCTCTTATCACACCTACATCAGCAGCCTACTCCCATCCCAATGTTGTTCTGATTTCTCAGTAATCCACCATGACAAAGTGTCTCATATTTTTATTAATGCTGATTGACCCCCCTTTAGATATAAAACCTATCAACCTACTCTCCATATAAGGGCCTATTGTTCATAGTCCACATTATTGTGTGTGTGTGTGTGTGTGTGTGTGTGTGTGTGTGTGTGTGTGTGTGTGTGTGTGTGTGTAAAGATGAGGGGGAGCCATCTCCTGTGGGCAGAGTTGTACTTAGTTGCGGTGAACGTGAGAAGGGTCACTGATGTGGCATCTTAAGTTTCCTGGTAATCGCTCTTGAAGGAAGTGTTCAGAGTTTCCCACAGAGACAGGACAATGAGTCTAGTCTTGGTTGGTTGAACGCAGCTACCTGCCACCCCTCTCCCTCACTCGCTCTCCCTCCCAATCTCTCAAATCATTCTCCATTAAATGGGAGCCTACATATTTTCATAGATCAAGTCTCTTCGCAGAGGGCATGTAATGGATACTGCTAGAATGGAACTGTTTATATTGGCTTTAATAGATCTACAACCTTACCTTGAAAATGTCTGAAGCTGTTTCAGTGATTTTTAGGGAATACGATTTCTTAATCATGTTTTTGCACTGATTATACGGTAGATGGGGAGAGTTACAGGTAGTGAATTCAGGTGTGTTTCCAAAACGTGGCGTTGTAGTCCTTAATGAACTACATGTATTGTTCAGTGTGCAGTGTCATTTTGGCATGACTGTAGCCTCCCCAAGTGCCTTGAGGAAATGTGCCAGGATTTGTTGTTGGATTTGGCCGGATGGACGTGTGTGATTTTTGGCATATTAGTGGCCCATCCTGTTAAAGCGAAGGATTATTCTCTGCTTTAAGCCCATGTCACCACTGTTTAAGACTGTTGCACTCCAATACATTTTCTCAGAGGCTGACGGAACCACCTAAGCTCATTACAGTGCTGTGGGCAGCAATGTGGTGTCTAGTGGTCGAGCCTGCTGACCCCTGAGGGTCGCGGGGTCAACATGCAGGGTCAACGGAGGGGGTGCCATACAATGAGGCTGACATGATAAACATGAGCTCCCAAGGGACAATGCTAACAGTTCTCTATCCTGGGTCTATATCCCTGAGCTGTAAATTGAATGCATCCATCCAACTTGATTTCATTGATGATCCTGAAAAGGAGGGAGTCTATGGGAATCAGGGGTGAAGTTGGGTGAATGGTTGGTGTGGAGATTGGGAGCTAAGGAACAGACATCCTCACTAGAATGTCCTAGCTGAGCTCCTTACTCTGCTTACAGCCCTCTGATATGACTTGGCTGCAAAGTCCAAACATTGTCCTGACCTCCAACCCTAACCCTTGTAAACTGTAGTCTTCATTGCTCTCCCAGGCAGACCAGACCACCACCAGGCCAGGCATGTGAGAAGTGAAGTGAGGAAGCAAGGAACACGGACGTCTCGGTGCAAGATGTTCTGGTGTGGATTTCGGATGGATGCAGACTTGTCAGATGAAGGGAGAGCTGGAAATAAAGGAGGGTGAAAATGAAACAAATGAGAATAATGAAGAGAATAATCTCATGGAAAAGAAAAGCTCCTCGTAGTCTGGATGATGGGAGGAGGGAGGGAGGGGAGAGGAGAGAGGAGGGAAGAGAGAGGGTGCTGAAGAGAAGGGGGCTCCTCACTTCGCTCATCTGCTCGATTAGCACGGTGTGCAGTATTTTAGCGGCCCCCCTCCTCGCGCATGCCTCACACAGTTGCCATCGTTAGCGGCGGCAGTAGCCTGTCAGGCACTCTGGTGTGCAAGGGCCTCCTTTGTGCCAAGGTGGGGAGGGTGCTGGAGGGAGGGATGGAGGGGGAAGCAGGGGCAGCCGGCGGGGCCTTGCAGCTGTCGCGAGGGTCGGCCCATGGACGCCTGTGATCAGCCAGCCGTGAAATCTGCCCTGAACAGCTCTGCATTCAGGGCACAGGCAGACCCTGACCCAACCACACACACACACACACACACACACACACACACACACACACACACACCCTCTCTTTGACTAAACCTTCCCTTTACTAGTGGGGCTCGAATGGTGCCGACTATTAGTTGCCCCCTTTCTGTCAATAACCCTACCCCCCCTCCTATTCTTGATTCCATTAACATTTCCATTTAACTTGGCCAAAACAGGCATCTAAAAACACTAGTAACAAGTTAAAGGAATGTAACTTCACTTCTCACTGAGGAAATGACTTGTTCAGACATACTTTTTAAAAGCTTAAAAATGGTTAAACTGGTCTGTGCAGTGCATTTCATAACTTGTGCTAGATATCACGTTTCCCTTTACAGAGAGATCGGATCATAGTTAAGATAAGGATTGTTCCCTCTCTCACCCTACTATCACCAGACTGATCATCAATGGCCCAACTGTTGCATGGTATGCTGGGAAGTCTGGTAGTGGAAATGTACTGTGACCTCAGCAGGCAAATGTTGGATTTGCATAGTGGTGTCGGATGTTGATTGGTGAAACCTGGCATTCCTGGTCCTGTCTGGCTCTCCTCTCTGACACTGTTCAGGGGAGAAGGAAGGGGCGCTGAGGGGGGCGGGGGGCATTCCTTAAAGGTATGGAAAGAACTGGATGTCTGATTAGAAGGAAATACATGTATGTCAGGACCACTTTCATTACGTTTGCACAACAGTCACACAACAGTCTTTGAAATTGTTGATCAATTATTTATTTATGTTTGTTTATTTATTCCATTGATGATAATGATGATTATGACCACCCAAATGCTTGTGAATTATTTAATGTGTTTCCATTGGCATAGATATGAATTATCCTTAGGAACCATAACCCTTTTCCTTTAAAATTGCCAAACTCTCCGTACCCATGGCAAGCAGAAACTGTGATACCGTATGCTCTAAACAGGACCTGGTGAGTTATAGGTGGGTGTCAGTTTGGACAGACACCTCAGGATTCCATCAATATGATGTAGCTTAATGATGTTGTAATCTGCGCTGGCCTATGTATCTGTGTATCTGGAAGGCACCCATCAGCTCAGGTCTGAATGGAAGAGAGGGAGGCAAGCCCACCCAGGCTGCAGAATGGTTCATGGGTGAGTCCTGTGTCCTGTGCCCTGGCTGCTTGGCTCTAAGTTGGAGGTTGAATCTTGGATGGGAACCCAGACGGCTGCTCCTACCATAGCAATGGAGGATGACCCATCCCCCACCTCCGTCCTCTCCTCCCCCTCCTCTCCTCTCCTCCCCTCCTCCTCCCTCCTCTCCCTCCTCCTCTCCCTCCTCATCCCTCTCCTCGTCCTCTCCTCTCCTCTCCTCTCCTCTCCTCTCCTCTCCTCTCCTCTCCTCTCCTCTCCTCTCCTCTCCTCTCCTCTCCTCTCCTCTCCTCTCCTCTTCCCCATCCAACCCCCTTCATCCATTCAAGTTGTGCCAGAGCAGAAGTCTGCCCTCTCTTATTGTCTGCCACTTCCACTTCCTCTTTTCTCTCTCTTCTCCTTACCTGGAGACACCACTGTGTGTTTAGTAACTACACACACCACCTTTACTGCTTCTCCGTTTGCGTGGTTCAGCGCTTTCTGCTGTCTGAAGCTAGAAGGACAGTATGGCGTGCCTTCAAGGAAAGCCATTGCATTTACTGCAATGATCACTTTTAGACTGTGACACTTCATAATGTTGTATTTATTGTGTACAGTATGTGTGGTCATTGATCATGTTGATAAAGTCTGAGGTGAAAGAAGGGTCAGTGGACATCTTTGTTGGTATGAAAGATCAGCCAGTGATAGAGAACATGTCTCTGTAGGCTAGAGAACTAGCTCTGGAGCTTTGAGAGAGAAGTGGGTGGACCAGTGGGCTACACAGTCATATTTCTTTCTGAACGTTCTTCAGTAGACTCAACTCCCAGACAGGCTTGATTGTCTTTCTGAAATTCTTCTTGTTGATACTTACTTAGTAACTCCTGTGTATCTTTATCGAGCTAAACAAACACAGCTAGTTGACCTCCACATCATAATGAGGCTGGCTGTCCTGCTTCCCGGATGCCCTGTTGCTCTGCACTTTGTCTGTTTCACCTCTGAATCAGTCGCACATGAAGAACCTTTTACCATGACATTCCAATCTCTCCCAGAGCTCCAGAGCTCCAGAGCCCATGGCCAGGTCTACATCAGTCCTGAGCAGTAGGACTGCTGGTCATGGGCTATGTGTTTTGTGTGTTTGGTGAGTGGGCGGTTGCTGGTGTTTATTTACTGTTGACTCCGTTTATTTACTGCCCGTCATGCAGACAGAGCAGATGCCCCTGGTTCTCACCCTACCTTATCCCAGCCCTGTGTCAGGGTCTCAGACCCCCAGGCAACTCCGCTTTGCTCTCCATGACTGAGTGAAGTGAGGTGGGGGGTGAAGTGTGGGGGGTTTGAGAATAGAATGGTTAGCCGCCCCCCGCCTTGTGGTTTACCTCACACTGCTCATGGGTCAAACGGGTCAGTGGAATGCTGGGATAGGTGTTTTTTTCTCAGATCGTTATGGAGATAGCAGAGAAATTATAAAAAGCAGTCCCAATCTATATCTTTGTTTTCCTGGAGCTTTGCGCTCTGCATGCGGTCACACTGACAAGGCAGGGTTAAGCTTACAATTTATGTAACGGTAACTATGTTCTGGAAGCCATTCTGGATGGATCTCTCATGACTAAGGATATACTCCACTTAGCTCTCCCTTCTGTTGCTCTGTGGTAGAGCAGAGGTAGTCACATTTAAGCATGAAGGTCCGGAGTATTGATGGTTGTCTTTCCTCCCTGGGAGTTAATTGATTGATTAATGTCACCGATTGACCAGACAGTACCTTCACCTGGAGCCCCAGGGTTGAATCAATTCCTGATTAGGATGAAAGAATGGAAACCAGCATGAGTCAGACCTCCAGGCCTGGTACTGAGAAAGGGGCTAGCATGTGATTTGACAGACAATGTAATTTTTGGAAGCATCTGTGTGTATGGGCTTGACATGAATGCTCTGAAACTGAAAAACATCTGAATACGTGTACCAGGAACTAATCTGAGAAAATTATCTCAATGTCAACAGGCTGTTTTCCCTTAATGTTATCAGGAAAGTCAAAACCAAGGACTTTAAATCACACCCCCATGGGTAAACTCTATCTATTAGTCCTATACTTTATTTAAGATAAGGCTGTTCTTCACACTACTGGCAGATTAGTGCACTCAACACCTTTCACAGCAGACGGTTATGACTCGTCTCCCCTCAGACGGAAAAGCCAGTCAGGCAAGGTGGAATTTTTTGGTGATATTTACACAGCATACTTAGAAAGTATACTTAGACTACAACATCTGTTGGAGTCAGGCTTTGGTGGCCCAATGGGGAGATAGCTACAGTTGATTTTCCAGTTGTGTGTTTGTTTTACCAACACACGACAGCCTGTCCCTCAGGCTGTTCTGAACCCGGACACCTCTTCAAACAGGATACAGTGGTGGACAGAAAAGGAGATTTGAAGTGATAGAGGAGAGAAAGGAGCCAATTGTCTCTGCAGCCCTCTTCTCCTTCCCTGTGACAGCCTTGCATGCCTCTGGAAAGAGAAAGGAAAGAAAGAGATTTAGAGAAAGAGTGCAAGCGAGTGAGAGAACGCAGTTTCGCTGTGCAGCTGCTCCTCTGGATGATTTTGGATGACATCAGCAGCTGAGAAGAAAGGAGGGAAGGAGGGATAGAAAAGGAGGCACAGGGAGAAGGGTGTGAGGCACACTCCACAAATCAGGGCTCCTTTCTGAAGGGAGCAGGAGATTGCTCCGGAGTTCCTCTTGACAGAGCTATCATTGTTAGCAGGGCTGAAGTGGCTGAAGACAGGGATGAATAGTGCTGTGGACTGTGGTCCCCCCCTCCCCACCAACACCACCACTGCACCCCATTCCACCGCCTCTGAGTTGTCTCTATAGGCTGGGTTTGTGAGCAGCATACAATCACATTCCTTAGCAGGACTGGCTCTATTTCTCCTCTAGGATTAATAGATTCACATGTTTGAGGGAGAGGGAGAGAAATGTAAATAAAGGTAAATATGGGAGGAGTTGAGAGGAATTAATCAGTATCCTAGACTAGTAGTGGTTGCATAATATCTTGTGGACAGACAGAGACAGACAGAAATTAGGTGAGATTTTAGTTCTGGGTTAACCAAGTTTAGTGGTTTCCATTGCTGTTATTTCTACCATGTTCTCCGGTGCTCTCATGGTAGTGCTGGTGGTCCTGATTCTCTTTAGGAGGATCATATGGCATACTGTCTGCCTTGTTATTGGGGACAAGATGCTTAACAGGCCCGCTAAGGCCAGAGCAGCCACACCGGCTCTTCATCATATTAATAATAATAGTCAGTTTAGCCATGATGATGATGATGATGATGATGATGGATGAGGAGGAGGAGGAGGATAATGTGTTCTCATAACTACTATGGCTTTACTGAACGCTTTCAATTTCATTCACTGACGATTTGTGTGTGGATATTCTGTGCATTAGCCTATGTATTCTCACAGTGACAATGACAAGGTAATAAACATGTGTCTTAATTGTCGAATGGGATGCTTTTTCAGTCACTTGTGTGACTGACTGTGTGTGTGAGAGCGACTTGGGTGACTCACTCTTTGTTTCGTCATTGTGTGGACAATATTTAATTACAGCCCTAAAACTATTTATTGAGTTTAAAAAATCAGAGGAAGTTAATTGTGTCATGGTGCTTTCCCTAGCAGAAAAATGCTCCCTGAAACAGAACAATATCTTATATGCAGTACAATACATATATGGAGAGTTGATTTACACATGTTAGTATTTTTCCCATGCTCTCACTTAATGGCCATCTCAAGGGAAGGTTTGCTGTGATCACAGAGCTATGTGTCATTGAAGACTATTTATATTGGTGAAAAGCACCAGTAATGTATT